AGGCTTGACATCAGCCTTAGAAAATCTGTAGCAGGTAGGCTGGCCTGTGGTGTTATATTTGCAGCTTTCTTTTATTTTGTGAAGGGAGACAGCTTGCCTATAGAGCGTCTGTTTTGCTGTGCAGCCAGCTGTCTGTGTCTTCTCAGCAGCAGCACTACTGGTCGTGCATTGCTGGAGGAAAGCAAGGCGCCTCCCGCTGAAAAAGCAGAGAATGTGAAAAAGCTGATGAAAATGGAGTTGCTCTGGAGCACTTAAAGGCGGCTTGAGCTGTTTATGATCCCTAAGGCTTTACACTGTACCTGCATGGGCTAATCTGCAGCCTCCTGTAATTAGGCACCACTTAAACACATGACCCAGCAAAGCCAGCTATGCCTCTAATCCAAAGTCACTCGCCCATCAGAGCGCTCTTGGTGCATTTTGCTAAAGTGGGCAGGCAAGAAACGTGCTATAACAGGAGGTCCCCTCCCAGCACTGTTCCCAAAGTCAGCATCTTGGGGGTTTGTAGCACTCCGAGTGCCCAGCTTGAATCTCACAGCAAAGGCTGTGTCCTCTGGGGGTGCTGCAGCCTGAGAGCTCTTGTCCCATTTCAGAAGCAACAAGTTTCCCAAAGTCACAAACAGGTTTTGAAAACTGTAGCCCAGAATCACATTTTCTCTCTCCTAATCCGAACTGAGTTTGTCAGGATCCCAGTGAGCTTGGCAAAAATGTGAGGCTTATTTCTGATTGAGCTCCCAATTTCACTTTAGGGTGGCTGACCTGGGCTGGTGGAAAGGCTGAATGAAGCATTCTGGTCTGAATCCAGCCCTCCCCTGGAGGTTTGGGCTACTTCTCAAGGAGATGGCTGTATAAAAATAGCCAAACAGTTTCTTTAGAGTCTACTTTGGCTTTACAGCTTCACTAATCATAATCCCGTGCATGACATCATTGCTGCCTGATATTAATCCTTGCAGAGCTGCCTGCCCCCGGACCCTGGCAGGGGTCTCTGCCCCCGCCCAGTGTTATGTGGAGCGCGTTACCCCATGGCTCCATTTTGTGTGCTGGGATGAATAAACCCAGAACTTACTGTGTGGCATCTATAGGTGAGCCAGTCTATACCCCCTTCCTGAACCATGCACAAGGCCAGCTAAGTCAGACTCGCGGAGTGCTGGCTGTTACTGTGGGTTTGCTTCGGAGAGCGATGGGAGAGCGGCAGTGCCAGGCGCAGCCCGAGGGCCCCGGGGAGCGGGGCTGGGCATGGCTGCAGCTCCGGCGGGGACCTGCCTCCACCCTGCTCCTCAGCCTCGGTCGTGTTATCTGGCTGTGAGTGCAGGGGGCTGACACCTGCTCCCCTAGGTGACTTAGGCTAAACTAAAGCCCTTTTCCCTACTTGTCCACTTTTAGAACCAAATACAGCGATGGTCTAACCATTTTTCTTCCTGGCTTCATCCCATCACTCCTCTCTGCGCTGGCACATGGGTTGAACTCCTCTCCACACCCTTGGCCCTGCTCCGCTGTCCCCGTGCCAGGTGACCGGCATTTCCCCTACTCTCCTAAGGTGCTGAATTGCTTTTTTTGGCTCCCCACTCTCATTTCTTAACTGCCTCTCCAGGTTGGTCAATACTTTTCTGGTACCAGAGTGTTTATTACGGATCTAAGGCAGGAATGTGATGGTGGAGGTCGTGCTCCTCAGCCTGGTGGTTGTGCCTGCCCGGGGGGCGAGCACAGCCCCCCCAGATGCTCCCAGGCCAGCTGGGGACCCTGAGCACAGCTGGTTTTGTATTGACATGTACAGTATCAGCCTTGGGGAGAGAAGGCTCTGAGGAGACCTTATCCCCATGTTCCAGTGTTCGAAGGGTGGCTGCAAAGAAGAAAGGGACTCCCTTTGTGCGAGGAGTGTCGTGGAAATGATGAGGGGTAATGGGGTGCAAGTTACTCCTGGGGAGATTCTGATTCAGCACAAGAGGGAAATGTTTCACAGCGAGAACAATCAGCCACTGGAATAATCTCCCCAGGGAAGTGGTGGGTTCCCCAACACTGGACACTTTCACGATTCAGACAGACATGGGGCTGGGCCAGCTTGTCTAGACTGGGCTTGTGCCAGAAAGGTTGGACCAGATTGTCCTTGAGGTCCCTTCCAGCCTGGGATTCTGTGATTCTATGTTCTATTTCGTAAATATGAATCTATAGTATCTAATAATATATTATGTCTGTCTTACATATTTTACTACATATTACCATAATCTAGGATATATAATATAGTCATTATTTTTACATGTTCTATATTATATTGTTATATATTAATGCACAGTATAATACTAATAAATTAATAAAATTGATAAAAATATACATAAAATAGAAGAAAGTCCCTGGAACTTATAGATATTTATATATAAAGTTAATTTTTATATAGCGTATTATATAGAAGAATACAGTAAAATATAGGGACTACATATAATAATATATATTGTACTAATATTTATTATATTTAATATATATTTTTATAATAGAGTGTATATAGTGCTTGATATTTTACATATTCCCTGGGGAATTTGTAATTTATATTTATTTGTATACAATCTAATCTTTAATAGCAAATACAATAACTTTAAATCTAATTTATAAATATACATATATTACATAGAAATATAATTGTGTTACTAGGACTGTGAAGGAGTACAAGCTAAAGAAAAAACCATATATATGTGTGTATGTAGTATATCTACAGTAGGTGACTGGCTAAGCATTAGTGTGGGAGAGAACAGATCTGCAAGCTGCAAGTAAAACCCCTGTGAGTCGCCCATGACAAGCGGCTGTTGCTGCTGACCCCTTTGTTTTCATGCTAAAATCATCCCTGTTTGGACGGCATGTTGGACCTGGGGTTTGGCTCTTCACCTCCCCTCTCCCTGCAGAGGGACCAAGGGATGGCAGTTTGCCTGGCAGTCACAAACCAGGAGGAAAAACTCTCTGCAGCTGTAGCAGGAGCAGCCCAGGGAGCCCTCCTGGTTTGCCCGCGCGGGTGCAAGCGCGTTGGCAGGTCTCTGCCCGCGCTGAACAAGCTCCTGGGAATAACAGCATGTGGGCACGGAGCAGGAACAGGCTTGAGCTGATGCTTCTGCATCAGCCTAAAAAGCACTTTAATGCTGAAACAATTGGCTGGTTTAACAACTGGGAGAGACAAGCGTGTGGCCGGAACAAACTTCTGCAAGTGGTTTTTGGTGGCTGTGCTGGTTTAAGCCATTGCTGGCCGTCTTTCTGACCTCAGCTGTGCAAAGTGTCTGTGCTGCTGGCTGAGAAATGACCTGGCTGAAAATCAGAAAGTCTGATGGTGCCTGTAGCAAACGTGTAAGCAGCCTCTTGTGACCCCCCTGAAGCCCACCCCTGCACGAAGGTGCTCCACTGCCCCAGGAGCGGATGTGCCAGTCGCGGGGGTGCGAGATCAGCTTCAGGTCGGGAAGTACCTTTAGCTTTACTGTTAGGTGATGCTGAGGAGAAACAGCACCATCGCAAAATACAATTTGTCTGACCAGGGATTGTCTTCCAGGGAGGAGGATTCTTTCCCTGGCATGTGAAATACCTGCTCCGTTCTGAAAAAAAAAAAAAAAGACCCTCAGGAGTGCGTGTGCGTTTCCTGCTGAGCTCATCCTATTTCTTGCTGAGACCCTCTCCCTGTTCCCTGCTGGCACTACTGCCTTGTGCCCTGCTCCTCACAGAAGCAGCACGCAGGCCTGAGACATCGTTACAACAGACACCAGAGGCTTGGCTGTTTGTGCCCGGACCTGAGGGGCTTTTACAAGAATTTAATTTGGAGTCGGTGCTTGCAGACCTCACGCAGTGGGGTGGGGTGGCAGAGTTTTGAGTCTGACATGGGGGGAACAAGGGAGCCTTCCTCCCTCTCACCTGCTAAACAAGGACGGAGGGGTTCAGCTCGAGCTGGGCAGGGCTTTGATTGAGCCCCTCTTTTCCTGTCAGGGAAAAGCAAAAAGGCACAAAAGGCACCCTCTTGTTGTACTAAAATTAGAATTTTTATGAAAATTCTAGTCTTGTTCTAGAGGCAGGTGTCCTGGTGTGAGGAAGGGAAGCTGACACTGTTTATCACTTTAGATGCAAGACACTCTGGTCAAGCAACTGAAGCCATGTGCTGAGGAAGGGTTTAATGAATCCTGACTTATTTCTGTGCTCCTTGAACTCTTCATTCCATTCCCATTTCCCAACAGCCGGTTCACAGCACACTGCTCAGCAAACATTCCTGTTGCGCAAGCTGGTGTTGATAAACCACAAACCTGTGGGCATTTTCTGGCTTTGTTTTTTTTCTGGGGATTATTTGGGATGTGGTAGCATAGATTTTTGTTGTTGTTGTTGTAGAGTGGTATCTTTTGTATAGCAGAGTCAACACTTCCAAGTAATACAGACCAATGACATGTCTGGTCAGGTCCTCTCACTGGCAGCACTTCTGCTTTGCCCTGGGTACCTGCAGTTGTGGAGAGAGCGAATGAGAGATTCTATCTGCCCAGCTTGAACATAGTTTCGAGGTTGGCCTTGTGCTTAGTGTGGCAGAACAGGCTGTAACACACAGAACTACTCGTGTCCTCTGCAAGCAGGGCTGTCCAGTTGGGATGTGAAAAACGGAAGAGGAGCTTGGTGCTCTGTCACTTACTGAAGAGCCTCTCCCTGCTTCCTCAGGGACCTCGATGCTGTGCAGTGAATGCTTAGCCCTGTGCTGCTGGGGAGATTTTTGGGGTAGTGAGTTTGAGTTTGGGGGTTTTGAGTCTGCAGGCTGTCACCCAGCACTAACTCAAGGCAGCGGGCTGCCCTGTGTCCCTTGTTCTGCCCAGCACGACTCGCGTGGCAGTGCTGGCAGTCTGCGGGCTCAATCCTCTGAGCTGCGAGCTCTGGCGTGGGGCTGAACCCCTTGTGCTGCTCGTTTGCAGCAAAACATGAGTTGGTGAGGCACCAGGGCGTTGTTCCATGTCATTTTAAAGGCAGTGGGATGTGGCATCTGCTGACCCTGGGGATCTTTTCAGTTCCAGGGAGGTGTGTGGTCCCTCAGCACTGTTCTGTGCGATGCCCTGATGACCATGGACGTGATGCTGTGCACGGCCTCCATCTTCAACCTCTGTGCTATCAGTGTGGATCGGTAAGTGCCTTCCTCCTCCTCCTCCTCACACCAGAGGAAGGAGCACTGTGTCCTGACATCGAGCTGCTCCCACACACGCCCTCCCAAGGCTCCAGTGCGGGGAAGGCTGGCTCCTGCCCTCCCCTGGGGAGGGTGTTCTGCCCCACCACCAGCTCTGGGACCCGTCAGTGCCCCTGGGGGGGGCCAAGCTGAAAGCAGAGCTGTGTGACGAGGCCAGAGCTGTCCCTTTGGCTGTTCTTCTGAGGGGGGACACTGGTTGCAGCCCGGGCCTTGGCTACATAAGTAAATTAATAGGGAGGAAGGACAGTGAGATGCAGCTTTAGGACCACTCGCTTATGTCACCAGTGGTGACACCACCATACTGGGACGGACTGACCCGGGGCCTGTGTTGGCAGGTTTATCGCCGTTTCAATCCCACTGAACTACAACCGGCGACAAATCGACCTGCGGCAGTTGATCCTTATATCCACCACCTGGATATTTGCCTTTGCTGTAGCATCCCCAGTCATATTTGGCCTCAACAATGTCCCAAACCGGGACCCCAGCTTGTGTCAGCTGGAGGATGACAACTACATCGTGTACTCCTCCATCTGCTCCTTCTTCATCCCTTGCCCCGTCATGCTGGTGCTGTACTGCGCCATGTTCCAAGGACTCAAGCGCTGGGAAGAAGCCAGGAAGGCCAAGCTGAGGGGCAGCATCTACGGGGCCAACAGGAAGCTGTATCGCCCCTCAGCCTTCATCGAGAGGGAGCAGAGCGGCCTGGAGCCCGAGGAGGGCAACCCTTATGCCCGCTCTGACCAGCCTGGGGACTGCGGGCTGAACAATGGGATCCAGACTGTCTCCTACCCACACCTCAAGTACCCCCACCCAGGACACAGGCGGAAGCGCGCCAAGATCACCGGCCGGGAGCGGAAGGCCATGCGGGTGCTGCCTGTCGTCGTCGGTGAGTAGCAGGCGGTGAGGCAGGGGCTGCTGGCTTGTCCAGCCTGGGGGGGCCTGGTGAAGCGAGGATGCACTTTGTGACCCCCCCCTCCCCAGGCAGGGCTGCTGGGGCAGCGAGGAGAGCTGTTGTGCTGAGCCAGGCTTTCTCCTTGCAGAGGGGGTGAGGGGGAGAAGAGCCGCCTCCCCCTCGTTTTAACAGCCACCCACCCCCCCGTGTTCCTGTGGAACAGCCTGGTTGTGGCTTATGACCCGCTGTGCCCATCTCTGTTGCGAGGGGGTTTATCCAGTGAAAATCTCTGTATCCTCTTGAGCCAGAGTAGTGGCGGCAACCATCACCCTTGGGAAAAAATGAGTGTACAGGGTTTATGCCCCAACCCCTCCTTCAGGGTAAGCCTCCTGAGATCTTAAATGCGAATCCAAAACTAATACCTGACTTAGACTTTTCTTCATCAGCATTTAGGATGAGAAAGACATCCGAAATATCTTGTCTGGGCGCAAGCCCCGCGCTAGGTATCAGCACATCTGCTTTCCCTAAGCACTGAGCTGTCTCCACTCTTGTGTTTGTTAAATTAAACCCTTTTTAACATTCACATCCCTTTCTCTCCATACTGTCCTTCTGGCAGGTGCTTTCCTCTTCTGCTGGACGCCTTTTTTTGTGGTCCACATTACCAGGGCTCTCTGCAAGTCCTGCACCATTCCCACCCAAGTCACCAGCACTGTCACGTGGCTGGGTTACGTCAACAGTGCTCTCAACCCCATCATTTACACCGTTTTCAACACGGAGTTCAGGAACTTCTTCCGCAAAGTCTTGCACCTCTTCTGCTGAGCCCACTGCAACAGGAGGGGACGAGGTTGGACCAGGCTATTTTTTGTATAGTTCATTAAAGATCTATTTCTGCCTAAGGTCTGCTGTTCTTGTTGGGGAGGAGGGAAGGAGGAGTTACAGGTGAGTACCAGGGGTTACTCTCCCGGTGGGAAAGTGCAGGCGTAGCCGCTGTTTTAGCACTTGACATAAGCAGCAAGAGCTGCCCCACGCCAGCAGGGACAGTGCTCAGCTCAGCTCTTGCTCTGGGGGATGTGGTGGGGCCTCTCACCGCTGTCCCTGAGCACAGTACAACACCCAGGAGCGCGGGAGCTTGCAGCGGCTCCAGCCCCCCGAGGTGCAGCCCTACCCTGTCCCTGGAGCGGTCCTGGAGGGGCCCTCCCTCCCCTACTGCTGCCCCGCTGGGCACCAGCCCGGTGCCACCAGTGCTGCAGGATGCAAATGGTGAGGCCGAACCCAGGAGGTGAGTGCGGAGCAAACCGAGCCCTGCTGAGGCACCGCGGGGCACAGCCAGAGGCTCCCTGGGCTGCCTCTGCGGCCCCGTGGGTGCAGGAACTTACCCCCCCTCAGCCCAGGTCAGTTTAGAAGTGGCTCCAGGCAAAGCTTTAGCCTGGCACAGATTGAGGAGGATCATAAATTGTATGTTTGGAGTTTTTGGGTGGGGTTTTTTCTTTGTTTTTTTTTTTTTTTTGCATCATGTTACTCACAAGCCTGGCTGTCCAGGCCCAGGGCCCCCCTGGCCTCTTCTGCCTGCTGGGGTGGCAGCGGTGGGGCTGGGGGGGACAGGAGGCTGCAAGGAAAAGGCTGTGAAGGTCAGGGCCCAGATGTTCACAGGCCAGATGAGGGTGTATGTATCAGTGCAGCCTCCTTTCCCCTTGCCCTTGATAATTTTAAATCCAAAGACTGATTTTACTCATGTTTAACAAGGGGATGTTAAGATCCTACAAAAAAAAAAAAAAAAAAAAAAAAAAAACAAAAAAACAAAAACAAAACAAAACACCTAAAGCGGCCCTGTCCAGAATTCCTTATGCTCCTGGGGCAGGAAGGCAGCTGGGCTGAGAAACCCCAAATTTGGTCAAGACCTGGAGGAAGCGAAAGTGACTGCGGGGAAAGGGCCTGCCTGCCTCCGGGAAACCTGCACACAGTGACACCAGGCGTAGCCAGAGGGAGCAGCTGATGCTGTCCTCTGAGGCTCAGGAGGGAAGAACATGATTATTGTGCAAAACAGCAATCTTCTGAGTAGTAATTTTTGTCTAGGGGTGTTGCTTTCCAAGGGGTAATTTGTTTGCTTAGAAACAAAAGGGAAAAAGTACTGCGGGGAGGGCTGAAGCTTTTCTTTGTCTAAGCATAACAATTGCTCCATCAAGTTATCATCAACAAATAAACATATTAAATTCCCACACTGATTGCAGTGTAAATTTTGGAGTTCTGTAGTTGCCACTGTGCTGGGGCACAGCTGCCCCAGAGCCCAGCACTCCTACGGGAAGCTCCCGGAGAGCGTTAATTATAGATGACTCTCACCTACATTTTTTTTCATTTATGAAAGTTGCCCCACTCTCTTCCAAAATTTTTTTCCCTTAAAAGGTGCAGTAAAGCCGAAGTTCAGAGTCACCAAGGCCCAGCAATACTCAGCCCCAGGTTATCGTGTGAGGACGTGGAGGCCTCTGTCTGTGTGAGTTGCTGCCGGGGACCTGGCACGCCTGAGCCCCCGGGCCCTCAGCTCACCCCGTCACCGCGCTTGGCTGCGCAGCCCCACAGCACCATGTGGGGCCGGTTCTCTGGGGCGCACACGAGGTGAACCAAAGGGGTGAAGCAACAGAAATGCTTCCCAGCAGAAAGTCTGATGTTGAAAGCACAGCTTTAGCACTCCGAAGGTGCCACGTCAGTGCGGGACGCTGCTGTCGCCCTCCTTTATTTGAGGAGCAACTCATCCAGCGTCACCAGACCGCGACTCGGCAGCCTCCTCCAAACCAGCACCTCTGCTCAGAGCCGCCCGCGCTGCGGGGGCTCGGCTGGAAGCAGCAGCAGCAGCAGTTTGCTGCCCGGCCGGGGGCTGAAGGGCCAGTGCGCGGCTCTGGTGCCGACCTCCACCGCGGCGCTGCCGGGCCGAGAGCTCGGTGCAGGCGCTGGGAACAACCGGGCGCTGCAGCCCAACGGCAGCGTGGTGCTCGACATTCTGTGCTGCTCTGGTTAGTCAGAACCTTAATGGGCAATAGACAGAGGCAAGAAAATAAGCTATATTACTGCAGGCTCAATTAAGACTTTCTTTTCAATTAACTAATTGTCTTTAAGCTTTAGAAAACAGGCAATTGTAATTTAACAGTGTGAGATGAAACAATCACAAATACTGCAGTATTGCTCTGGGAAGCAGGACTGAGCATTTTGCTATGGGGACCTAAGGCAACTGCCTGTTCTTTCCTTCCCAGGAGTTTTACAGGGGTAGTTTCTGTTCCCCTCCTGCTTCAGCTTGTGCCAGGCTCTCCAGCAGAGAACGGTTTCCTTGGGAGGGGGCTGGCATGGTGCTGCCTTCCCTCTGCCAACGCCAGTTCCTCACCCTCAACAGGCCTGTCAGTGGCGCCGCCCCCTCTGCCCACTAAGCTCCACATTTAGCAGGAAGAACGTCTCCAGTAAAAGCCAGAAAGGGACATTCAGCAGCTGCCACTGACCTGCGCTGAGGTCACCCCAGCAGAAGGGTCCCCTCTGCCGCCTCCCCGCAGGTGCTGCTGCAGACGAACCCGGGCGATGGGCACGCCTGAGGAGTCTCAGCCTGCAGCAAATGCTGTAGGAGATCATAAACCAGCGGCCACCTGCTCGGAACACACAGAGTGTGAGGTAACAAGGTCTTAGATTCATGGAGGATGGAATGGATCTGTCAGAAACCGCTAGTGCAAGACTTCAGTCTTTTCCATCACATTTTTCTCTATTACCACTTTGCTGTATCTCTGGATAGAAATTTCTCCTTTTGAAGGCATTGATGATGCTGGATTGGGTTGCTCCATGATTTGGAGGTGGCCCCTCCTGGAACATGAACTAACCAGTAATCCTCTTCACCCACCAATCCAAAATCAGCACAAATAAGCAGATGGGACGAGTAAGTGCTCACAGTTATAGTGCCCGAGGCTAAAAAAATAACCAACCAACCATAGGTGTGTGTGTCTGCTGAGACTCCTCGAGCCTGGGGCATTGCACTTCCAACACAAAGGCACCTGATTAGCCTAAATTACTAAAGAAGTACGTTAATAATTAAATGATTTTGTGGCAGTGAATGAAGCAAGTAACTTCCAAATGCTCACTGCTTTAATTGGTAGCTACTGCCAGGCAATGAGGGGACAGCGCCCTATCAATGCGCCCTCCCACTGGGTTTGGTCAGATCTGATTTTGGCCAAAACCTTTGGGTTTTGGTCAGATCTGATACGGACGCTACAGCCAAGGCACAGCACATGATGAGGCTGCACCTCCCTCGCCAAGCAAACTCCGAGGGGGACGGAGAGCAGAGACGCACGTGTGGAATCGCGGCGGCGGTGCGGCCGCACCGACTCCCAGCAGCCACTCGCTGCACAGCGCTGCCGCGGGAATGAGACAGCACCGCCCGGCACGCTCGTGCTTTCACCGCATTTTATTTAACAACCTGTTATTTTTCACTTATATTCAAGTGCAGAGGCTCCCGTGTGTTCCAAATTTGCCCAGCACAGAGGGAACACAGGAGAAAAAAGTCCTTCCAATGGCAAACTAAGAACTTCAACTGACTTTTTCAAGGCAATTAAATAAACCAAATGAAGGTCTGTTTCTTTTTTCAAACAAGAGGTAGGGAGGCGCAGGGAGAAGGAAACACTGGCAAATCTGTTTGCAGCACCTGCTTTAGATTCATCTCAAGAGAGATGATGAGGTTGCCGTAATCCACATGGTGGAGGTTCCAGTCTGGCAAAGCTGCAGGTGGCTCCCCGCTGCGAGGCTGCAGTTAGGTGGGGTTTGTTTTTTCCAGACAAGTTTTTCACAGTCGCTGTGTTATTCAAAGTTTTGGCAGGGGATCGGAAGTAGGCAAATGCTGTCACAGTATCAAAAAAATCTTTCAAAAAGGAGTTTGCTAGTGAGAAGAGTGTGGTGTGTACAGGACAGACCGTTCACATCACGTTGCCGATCCAGCCGGCCGCACCGCGCCGCCCGTCAGCGGTTAGAGGTAGGAGTGCTCAGACAGTGACCTTCTCCATCACGCTGTCCGTGACGTGCACCTCGTCCGCTTGCACCGTCACCGTGGCCGACTGCCCGCAGATGTGCTGGTGGTCCTTCCAGTCCTGCGAGGGAGGAGCAGAGGGAAAGCCCATGAGGAGGACGGGCCCTCGGAAAGCGCGCAGCCTGGAGAAGCACGTGGGGCCCCAGCAGAAGCTCTGGCTGAGAGGCGCTTTCGCCAGCACAGACGGGCTACAGCAGGTCTCTACAGCTCGGCCAAACGAGACTAACGGCGGACAGGAAAGGAACCTCATGCTGGGTCAATATTAGAGGCGGACCCAAACGAAGCAGAATGCTGGCTTCTCGATCCCAAAGCCAAAACAGGGCATCAGTGTCAGTTAGGACGTGGAAAATTTACTAAAACCAAGTCAGCACCTTGACTTAAACCCGCTCCTGAAAGGCAGCTGGCTACAGGCTGGTGCTCCCAAGGGGCAGCGCCACATGAGGGGCCCAAGCTCAGCAGTGGCAAAGAAGAGGAGAGCAATTCCTCCCAGGACTGACCGACTGCAACTTCTACTCAGAACTAACAAAATGCTCCTGTAACTTGCTCAGCCCTGAGGTCACACATCGCAGCTCGTAAATACAGGGGAAGCTCAGGGAAACTGTTACTGACCACCACTTCTCTTGGCCACCATTACACCTTGTTACAGGCAAAAAGAAACAGTCTAAATCCTTCAGCTACTCAATACACACGGCCTCAGCTGGTTCAGACTGGAGCTTGGACAGCCCGCAGCACCATAGCCCTGGCCAGACTAAATTAACCTTCCCTCAGGAGCAGGGTGCCAAGGGCCTTTGTAAGGAACCTGTGCAAAACATGAAGCACAGCAGCTTCCTCCACTGTACTTCCTCATACCTGTTTCCACCTCCCATGCTCAAAATCTTACAGTTTGTCTCACTGTATCATCTGTAGCATCAGAAATAATGTACAGAGTAAGAGAACTGTGTCCTCTGTGACACAGAGGAGCGGTCAGTTTACCAGGAAGCGGCAGGGGAGGGTTGTAAAAGTGCTGCTGGTAAAAGTGCTAACTGGTCCCCACAACTCACACGGTGAGGTGCCCATGCTCCCATTTCTGGTGGTTCTCTGGTTTTTAGATCAACTTTGAGGAGGCCTGTGCAAATCTTGGGACCTTCCCCACCCCAATTTGATCCGGACCCGTCGCTGCAGGGTGTGCTGGGGGTGCTGAGGCTGCCGACCCGCACGGGGCTCCTGCTCCAGCTGCCTGTCTGGCTCTCCCCAGGGTCACACAGCCCTCTCCAGACAGTGGAATCTGCATCTCACAAACAAGCTCATACCTTTCGCTGGCAGAAAGTGGAGCAGTAGTTGACTTTGTGGCATCCTGTGCACTCGTTCGTCGCCTCACGGCCGCAGTTGACACAAGACTGCTGTGAAAATGGATGGCAAAGTGGCCACGTCAGAGGTAACACCAACAGGGAGATCACTGGAGTGTAACACAAGTGCTGTAATGCGACGGGACGCAGGAGCAGTGGTAAAGTCCCCATTTCCCAACATATCCTCAACACACAAACACAAGACAAAGAGGCCCAGTGGCTTCTGGACACTCCTTCAGAGACCTGTTCTCCTCGCCTTTTTAGCAGGGATCACCTTGGAAAATGGAATGTACCTCTATTTCCCTTTCTGGTGGGCAATAAGCCCCTCAGAACTGTGGGGGAGACACCGAGTGGTCACGGAAATCTGTCCCACCCCAGAGCCACCTCCCTGCACGCAGGTCGTGTCTCACAACCCCGGGCAGGTTCCTGCAGGTTTCAGCAGGAGCCACCCGCACCCACGGGCCGGCGTGTGCCCAACGGCAGCGTACAGGCTACGCACAGGCCACCGACCCCCAACCTCTGAGTTTATCTCAAATTTAAAGTTTTAAAGGCAGACTCAGTTGGTGGTTTTGTTTGGTTTATAACTCTGCGTATGTCTGAGAGAGGGTCTGAGGAAGGACAACAAGATTAGGCATAAGGATGGGACACTTCAGCTTGATCTTTCCCTATTCTCAGAGGGGAAAAAGGGATCTGCTCCCACAAGCTGAGCAGGCTTGTTCCTTTGCCACTCTGCAACATGACTATGTAGCGGAGTCCCAACAAGGAAACAAGACAGAGGAGTAAAATTAAGAAAGCTCTAACAGGAGCAAGGACTTAAGCCTAGAAGACAAGATAGGATACATGGATGAAAAATCACACCTGGTTTTTAAAGGAAGTTTTTGTGTCTAGCGCTTTAATCTTATCTCAGTGACATCAATTAACATAACCTGTCATTTAGGTGGAAATATCATTGAACTACCACAAAAATAAGCACTTCACAGAGCATTCCGTTTCCAACTCATTAAATTACTGACAAATCATTAGCACGTCAGAGCAGCAGTGTGAGGCCGCGACAGGAAGCGTTTCTTTAGTTCCACCAGCTCCTTCTCTCTTTTGAGCACAACCAACCCAACAATCAGCACCCTGATTAACACCGAGTCCATCACACCATCTGCTCACGTCTTATCAATGTACCTACAATTAAGAGTTGGTGTGACTGAACTGTATTTGTATTTTTGTATTCCTGATGTGCAGCCGGGGATTCAAGCCACCAAAAAGGGCCTTAAAGCTGCTCTTTGGGACTTGCAAAGCCTCTCCCAAAGGGGGTGCCCGAGTGAGGCTGTGCACAACCTGTTCGGCATTGGAAAATGTTGAAAATACACAGTGTGTACCTGGAGATCTTAGATAACTAACACGTACAGCTGGAAAGGCTTAAATCACGGGTCCTGGACTAACTCACCTCATACTCCCGCTCCAAAAGCCAGAAGGCATCACGCAGTTTTGAAAACCAGTTCACAGGACAGAAAGGAAGAGAGTTTCCTTCCTGTCACAGCTCAGTGACAGCCACCCATCAGCGCTGCAAGGCCACTGCTCAGAGGTGAGGGAGACTGGCTGACCTGGCCAGCTGACAACAAAGGACTGGGAGACCCTGGAAGGCCTGGGAAAGGGGACACGCTCTGCTCCAACAGAGCATTAGTCCTGCTAAGGAAAGCTCAGATCTCCGCCAGAAGGCCAGGCCAGACACGGAATACATGACTTCTGTAGCAATGACAAAACACTCTGCATCTTTAAATGACAAGAAAAACAAGACCAAGAACAAAAGACTCTTCATAAAATATGAGACATCCCCAGCTTACCTTGATGATGATTTCTGTTTTCCCATCCACATCTTCTGTTTGTTGAAATAACTGGTTCTGATATTGCTGCAAGGAAAAATATACCAGATTCATCATTTCCCAGCCAGAGTATGATGTGAAGGGTTGAAAAGGGAGCTCTGCACGGCGGGTCTGACAACGAGCTTGCTTCCAGCAAGCCCGAAAGTGCAGTTGAAGAGGAACCTCACTCTGCCTTTACAAGAGAGGGATACTGTGCCCTGACGTGGAGACAGATGAAGTCTGTGAGAAAACAGTCTGTGGTGACAAATTGCCAGTTACGTGCAGCTTTTACACAAACCCCACTCTCCCCAGTTCATCCAGCCAAGCACTCCTCCTTAAACAGGCGGCTTAATTGCCACAAGGCAACTGCACCCCCCCACACACGAGGACCTAAGGTATTAGCAACAGAAACATGAGGAAAATGCCAAGGTAATAGGGCCAAGTGCCATCTTCTTGGGCCAAATTTTGGGTCAAGTTCAACAATCCTAATGCACTAACAGACAAAAGGAGTCTGGAGGGATGGCACGGCCCAATGGAATGGATTAGGGGAAAAAAAACCCAAATAAATTTAACACACTCAAGACTTGAGAAACAGCATCAACCATACCCATTATTCCTCCTTTTAACAGAAGCATAAAAGGGTTTTCAAACAGTTTTTGAATTAAGCAGTCCTCTGGAAGGGACCTTCAAAGCACACTTGGGGCGTGCTGCAGATCTACTTCAAACCAGTTCAAGTCCAGCCGGGTGCTGCTCTACCTGTTGCCTGGCCAACACTGCTGAGATAGGAGTCCTAACCCAAAGGAATCAAAAACTGATCCCAATTTGATTATGTGCTAACCCTGATTCAAATTTATTGGGAACAGTAAGAAAAAAGCTGAACCCCCACCTTCAGGCAAAGCAGGTTTATCCAGGAGTATGAACCAACATATAAGGAGATTAAAGGCTTAATTTACAAGTGTTTCTATGGCCTGACATCACAGTACTTATTCTCCTGTGAAATCACAACCTTCAAAACCTTTATATTACCATGACACAAATTCAAATTAAAAAACTCAAGGGACATGGAGGAGGTGGCAGGGAAACCTCTTGCTGTAGACTGCAAGGGGTGTGACTGGGTTCTGCCAACATTTGACAAATAGGCAAGATCAGGCTAATTAGCCAGCCAGGAGCCACACACAACAGCCCCAGTGCTTCCAGTACTGCGTAGGCAAGGTATGCATCACATGTATGGAAATTTCAAATTACTGTTTTCAGAACCAAAACTGTGTCCGAATCAAAAAGTCCTTGTGAAGACAGGGAATATGCCAGCAAGCTTCAGATGTGGCCTCTGGCCTAATAATCAATCCTGTTGTGTCACAGGAAGAAAATAACTTGATTCTTGAGAGAATCATTAATGTCAGTGAGCACTGGCCATGGGGAAGCTGGGACACAACACCCTGTGCCGCAGCTGCTGCCCTCTGCCACCCTGCACACAGGCAGAGAACCGGGCTGGCAGGCAACTGCGGATTCTTCAGGAAACGTTAAAACGAGCTTTCCACTCTTAAGTGAAAGACAAAGGACCCATGTTAAGAGTACTGGCCTAGGAAAACTTCATAATGTTTCTAAACTTCTTTTTAGTGAAGAAAGTGGAAATACAGATAGCAGAGCACGCGGTGCGCTGGATTTCAACCCGGCTTGAAAACCTCTGCACACAAAACCCCAGCTAGTACCGTCCCCTCTGCAACAGCCCATGCAGAGACAGTGCTGGGGCTGAACACGCCGAATTCCAGTTCTAATGAAGTGAAATGAAAACCCTTCCCACCACCAGACTCCATCCTCTCCGAGTGTGGCTGATCCTGCTCTCCAGGGATTCTGCCAATGGGAGAGGCACCCGGAGGAAGCTCAGTCTCCCTCGGCCCTGCCTGAGCCACAGCAACTCCTCCACCTCTGCTCTCAGCCCCCGAACCCTCCTGATGGAAACCCCACCTTTAACCCCCCTCTGTCTCCTTTTTATCCAGCCCCATAGCGAGTCCTCTGGTTCTGCGCAGCCCCCGGTGTGCAGAATTGGAGCCATGCAGAAACTATGGAAAAGGAAAAGGTGTTGTAAGAGAGAGGCTCAAGCCAGATACATCCTGATCTCTCACAAAACTGGCTCCAGAGAACCGATAACCAACAATTCTCAACTGTCTTCACTGCTGCCTTGGAGTACGCAGCCATTATTTGCTTCCTAGAGCAACATTTCTTAAACTGCCAACCCTTTTTAGGTTCATTTCATACTCTTAAATACCTGACCCTTTTTAGGTTAATTTCATACTCTCTAGCCCTGAATTGTTTTAATCTTTCTAAAAAAGATGATCCAGCTGTCAGCTGATTTAATCTTCCACCTTGTTTTCAAATGGGATGGGCTCCAAAGGCATCGCTGCATCACACAGGGGGCTATTTCAATTAAAACCCTTGTCAGATTTCAACACTGATTCTTTTGAATTTACACAGAAAAACTGTTTAACACATTTCCTGAATTATTATCTTCCAGCAAAATCTTCTGGCACACAATTTGCTGAGTTCATGTATTCTCCCCCTCCTAAAGTTTATCTGATATAAACAATGGCTTAATGCACACTCAAAAAAATTACATTGCCAAAGCAGAGAGACCTCTGTATAAAGTACTGTCTTTAATCCTTTCCCTTTGGGCCGGTCCTGCTAGTTGTCAAATATCTGTTCTACGAGACACTGAGACTTTGTCGCCCCACTCACTCTCTTCCTAAATGTTTTTCCCTAAATCAAAAAAAGCAGTAAAGCCAACATTCAGATAGTAACCAAAGGATCAGATACACTCGCTCACACGCTAATTAATAATGACAGTGGTGAACTTTTCCTTAGCAGCTTCATGAAGTTCTGACAGAGCAGTTGCAGTTAACGAATCCCATGCAAAATGCTGCAATTCAGAAAAAGCTTACAAATATTTTGATATTTTCATTTTTTTGCAATAAGCATGATGAATTTTAATATAAACACCAAGCTGGAGGGTTTATGGTTTGCCTTTCTTTCAGAATGATGTTCCCCAAGACTTCTAAGTAACATAAATGTAACTTATATTTGGTGTTTGCAAATATAAAGCTGTGCACTGGCTAAGCACCAGCTGCATATGCGCCTCTTGTTTACACACAGAAAGCACAAGCCTTACAGCCATCATCATTTCTTAAACAGTCAGCTTCGTGTCTGGAACTAACTCTGTGAGGGCTCTGCTTATTAATTAAGGAGTCATCATCAACAGGCACATGAGATACTGCAGACAGCATAAACAACAGGAAAGGTATTTTTAACCACTTAGACTCTAGAACAATTTTGTTTCAAAAGAAATTATTGCAGAAGAGATATTTCATAAATGCTGGAACTGCAGATTTTGAGTTTACAAACTGCCCTTATTTCTAGGACCCATAAGGTTAATGTCTCTTTACACAGCCCTTTACCCAGAGATCCTACCACTCTGCACACTGGTATGCAAACCCTCTGTGAACAAAGTGTTATCCTTATTGTAAAGAGCAGGCTCTGAGGCCCAGAGAGACCAAGGACTTACCCAGAAACATCTAAATAACTTGCGGTAAAGAGGGAAACAAAAATCGGAAGAGATCCTCAGTCTTGAAACTTGCCCAGCAAACCATGATCCTTAAACAAATTTACAGAAATTAAAAAGGACAAAGATAGCAAAAGGGTGTGTGCGAGGACTTCCAAATTACAAAATTATATGCAAGAAAAACTCTGCTGGTGAAACCTTTAGCTCCAGCACTTGGAATCTGACCTATAGTTTCTTCAGAACAGCTAAGGACATCACCAGACCCTGACACGGGGCGTTGCAGGGCTGTAATCTTATAGTATGGAGGCAGAGTGAAAAAAACCCCTCAGGTCAAACATGAGAGAAGAGTGGAAGGCAAGTGTATTTTCCTATATTTTCACTAATTGCCTATGAAGACAGGCATTTATATTCCACTGCTGTACAGCCTGATGCCAAAATGCTCAGCATTTCCCAATTCAGCTCCCCTGTTGCTTCCGAGGACTCTCTATATAGATATCACCATGTGTTGGGAACCGCAATTAGGGATCCAATCCTCCTGCAAAATTCAGATTAGACATGCCAATTTAAGGAAGAAACGTGACCACAGATGCTTATTTATGCTCCATTTACAATTTTATATGGTTTTTACTTGCTACATTTAGCAGACCCCCTTCCTGCCACAGTTCCTCTCTGATGTTGGCACTTGCACCTTCAAAACGATATCAGTGAGGGGAATAATGTATTCCCCTTCTTTGAAGAGTCCTGGATAATATCATTAGCAAGCGTGACCAGAATGAAACAGTGATGTCTGCTCTTTGACTTCACAGATAAGAACAAACACCTCCCCTGCTTAAAGGAAACTGGGAGCAAAAGCCTGCCTTTCCCACTCCAGAGCTCTGCCAGATCCCAACAGCACCCACCGCTGCTCGGCATGGAGTACAACTGCTGGTATGCAAAGCCAAGTCAACCAGACTGCTGCTATATGGGAGCAGTGGCTCATTTGTGATATTTAATGAACTCCAAAGCTCATTAATTAATAAGTGAAACACAATAGCATAAGTGATTTGCAATACACAACAAGGCATATAAGCTGTGATTAAAAACTCTTACTGATTAATTTATTGCTCTCTAGGAAGACTGAAACCAAACTAGCACGCAAGTAAGTTTTCATACACGTTTGCTGTTCTTGCCACCTCTCTTCTGCTCTGCTTAAATTTGTGGCCACTTCAGACTTCCTCTGGAGGGCAAGTAAAGACAGCGCTGTCCCAAGAGCCCTGGCTTGCTCTTCTGTCGGCAGGCAGAGGCCACCTCCCTCTTGCCAGGGTGACAGAGGGAAATGGTCAGGGATACGGGCAGTTTACAAGTTCAAAAGTGCTTGAACTCAACACTCAACATCCACATGAGCTGGGAGACTGAAGTGGGGAATAGCTCTGCACCACTGTGAATACTAAAGATGTGTTAGTTACAGTCATGGCAGTGAAGTGTGTGTACCCAGTTGGGATCCAACCTGCTCCCAAGAGATTTCTTTAGTCCTGCTGTGTATTGTCACCCTTCCAGGAAGAGCTGAGTCTACAGGTCTGTTATAATTTAATCTGATGTACAGCCTTTCCTCTGCAGCTCTGACCCAATGGCACGATCTTTCACTTCTGAATACCCAGGAACATACTGCTGCACAGAAATTCTGCACGCTGGTGGCTTGCTGCGCCCACCATCCCGCCCGCACAAACGGAGGAGGTGGCAAGGAGTCTCCCCGCTTTGCTAGTCTGAATTTCTGTCAGTGTAACAAACACGAAGTAGTGATAAAGCGCCTATTTCCCTTGTATTAAATTGGTCCAGCAAAAATCAACAACCACCAAGGCAGGAAGACACCTCTTTCTCCCTCTTGTATACCTTAACTGCCAAAAAAAGCAGTGTGACCACACACATCTCAGGCTGCAAGAGAGACTTGCGTTACCGATCAGGGGAACATTCATGAAATCAGAAAAGCACCTCTGAACAACACAAAAGCAAACAGCCAAGTATTTGACATTTATTGTAATTAGTTCCAATGCCAGCCCTGTACCCAGAAACCCAGAGTTTTTTCCAAAAATGTAATTCACTAGAAGGAATTCAGAAATACCTATCTGCAGTGTCATCCAGACGGTTCCAGAAGCTAGCACACAGCGGCAGCTTGAGAATTGTTATTTGGATATTAAAAAAAAAACAGCACCGTGAGCAAGTGTTTTTATCAAAATACAAAACTGTTGAGGTAACCATTACACACGAAGAATGGGAAGACACACAAGTTGTATAACTGGGGATTCAATAGTTACTGGGAAAGGGGCTTCCTCTGGAAATAAACATGTGCTCATCCTTGCCTTGTAGAGTCAGCACTTTAATCAATACACAGGAGTGATTGTAACTCCCATTCCTGGGGCAAGAAGAAACTAGAATTACACTGAAGTGAGCTGGATTTGGATCAGAGGGTGAGGGGAATGGACTCTGAACCACCATTCCAGAAACCACTGTAAGGATAAACAAAAGGGAACACAGCACATGAACTGGAAAAAGAGCAGAGAGCGAAGTTAAATGAAGTCAGATATTCATCTCTCAACTGTGTCAGTTTCCAATTTTTGGTATCTTTTTTTATCGCTCTACACAGCTTTTTAGCAGGAGACGGCCCAAACCTGGACAGCAGCATGAATACCCAGTCTGCCCAGGCAGAAGGCAGGCAAGAATTACTCTCAACGTATCACACACCTGCACATCAAGGATGCAGCGTACAGAAGAGTTTAGCAGAGACAACGTGGCAAAGAATACCAAAGACGCTGCAAGGACTGTCATAGGGGTTCTCAGTTCTCAGCAAAGTCTTCCCACACACATTTCTTCAAGGTCTCTTGCTGCACACTCGTGCCTATGAATTCAGTGGAAAGCTGACGTTAGCAATAACGCCGATGGCAACAGCAGATAGTGTGGTGTACAGGAAGGGAGTTCATCAGCTAACGACAATGACACCAGTCTCACAGAACATTGCCCCCCACCTCTCTCCCTCGAGTCCACACCAGCAGCTGTGGATCTGGGGGAGAAGGGGAATGCAGTCAGCAGCGCATGGAGCCAGATTCAGGGTGCATGCATGAGCTGGTGTTAAGAAGAATCCAGGGTCCCTACCATGCATCAATTAAAGAGAAGAAAAGCAGGGAGAACAGGGCAGTCCTTGTAGCTAATCCATTACAGAGGAGAGAGGGGCCGCTGGGTACAAGCCAATACTCCTGTAACGCCAGCCGGCCTTGCAGCCTTACCACAGGACTCATGCGAGATCAGCTTTGCTTGCACAATGCTCAGCAAGACACCTCTAAATTTCACTGCTTATCTTCCCCAGAAACTCCATAGCTTACTGTTTTTTTTATCCCTCTGCCTCTTCAGGCCATCAAAAGCCTCTCTGATAGCCCCGCTCACTTGACATAAAGAAAGTAGCCATCGCATGGCTGAACACTCACCATCCTTCCTCTACCAGGATTCACTGCCCACATCTCATAAATTTAAGGATGGCTGCTGGGAAAGCAGCCTTGGAATCCCAGAGCACTCTACTCCTTTCCCCATGATACGAATAACTCACATTTCTCTTGGCAATACTGCTCTCAAGACATTGAGAAACAATTTCTAAGTGCTACCACTGTTACAGTCAGTGGCAACCAGTGAGGTACTGCTCTGTTCATCACTCAGCCAAAAAGATGCCCTGGGCTGAGTCTTCTCACCTCCTCTGGCATAATTACCTCTTTCCTCTCCACGTCAGCTTGAATTTTTGCTTGTGTGACAGCAGCCTCGCGGAAGGAGGAGCTGGCCTGTTTGGCCTGTTCGATGAGAGTCTTCAGCTGCTGGGCAGTGTTGAGCAATGAGTTGACCATCTCCTCCAAGTACAGCCAGCTCCGCTGCTCCGTCACTTCCAGCCCATTCACCACCGACGGGGATATGGCTTTCGTGGGGGGCACCGCCAGGGCAGGGAGTGAGGTTAACACTGAATATAAAGAAAGAAAAATAAAATATATAGAACTAGGGTGTTTCATTTCCATAAAGTGGGGTTTTTGTGTTTTGTTTTTTTTTTTTTTTTCTGTTGTGTTGTTTGGCTGCTTGTTTTTAAAATATGGTCTGCAAAAATTTCCAATCCGGCTAAATTTCAGCTACACACACCAACCTTCTGTGACCTAAAGCGCACAGGTCGGTCTACGCAGAACACGCCCTTGGGGCACTCTCAAACCCAGCAGACAGAAGAACAGAAGAACATGTATTGTTTCCTCTGGGAAGGAATTAACACCTCTGTGATGTGCACTGCTGCAGAGAGGCATGATGAAGCAGTGAAAGCAGCATTCCCAGGGACCACTCCTGCATTATCATCACAATGTTCCATCCAATGTCTCCCTTAACTATCGCTAAGTAAGGCCATTCAGTGACCCAATACTTTTCTGAAATATCCTGATGTCACTACACAGATATCACTTCTCAGGTTGCAAAACTACAAAAAATAGGCACAGATCCCCACCAAATTCCCCCATACCTCCTGAATTCTGATCTTAACTGTAACCCTGGCCCACAACTGGAATAAAACCAAGACAGTTACCATCACCTCAAAATTACATATATTACAAACATGCACTTTCCCAAATCACCAGTTGGGAAGCCCTTTAAAAAAAACCTCAGTAATTGTGATTTCTTTGGACCCCTTCATCCTGGATCCTACCCATAAACCAAACTATGGCCATAAACCCACACATACCACACTGAAACACCAAAGCTTTTAACAGGAGGTATTCACAGCTCTATGTAGCTGTTTCAAATATCCTGGGTATTCTGAACAGCAATGCTCACTGCAGCTCTGAAACCTCTCCTTGCCTAATCCCAAAGGTGAGAGTGAATGTATACAGTCCAGATGGAAGTTTTAGCTTCAGACACTAATATCTCCCGGCATTTTACACTGTGCTGGACAGTTTTCAAGAAACAATTTTTTGTCTGTGGCCCTTTTCTCCAGAATCCTAACTACAACTCTTCACTCCTGTATAAACTAGAATGCTACAAGGCATGGAACGAAATGTAAAAGCCCAGAATCCCAGCAATACTTCTAAATATACTCTGTGGGACATTAAAAGAAAAAAAAAAAAAAAAAACACCAATTATTGAGGTGCTCCAGCCTTTACTTTTTCATATCCTAACCATAACCTTTACAGTTACTGCAGTTGGTAGGAAGCCACCAGAACGAAGCTAAACTCCTACCTGCTAACTTAACCACACTTTCCTTGAACCCAGGCAACCTCCCCCTCAATTATTGGGGGCTCTGCAGTCCTCCCTTTCCCAAAGCCTGTGTTAGAAAATTAAAGTCCTAGAAAACACACAATGTCTGTCTGAGCCTTATCTTTGAAAATGTTTCCAAAAAATGGCAGTTACTGTGTCACTAAAACATCTCATTTTCATAACACTAGGTTTGCATATACACTGGGAGACCACAGTGTGAGGAAATTAAATCTAGATCCAGGAACCCAACAATACGCAGTGTAAGTTCACCTTAGGCCACATTTCTAGGAATAAATCTTATCTGGCTTTACTGGCCTTACTTTTCCAAAATTTCACTCTAACTCTAGCAATAAATACTCACCATCCGCCATAAAATTAAGACCAAGACACTCACATCTATCAACAGGTAACCTCTAAATTCCTCACTAAATTGTTTACTAGAAAAAAGAGCGCACCACCAACTTTGGGGCTCTGCAGCCTTACTACCCCAAAATCTACTAAGTCTATTTCTGGATTTTTTCCTCACATCTTTAGGTAGGAGTTTCAGAACAATGCAACTCACAGAAAAAGCAGTGAGTATTGCAAGCAGAGAAACCACATTTCTTCCTGGATAGTTCTGCATTGTCAGTGGAAGAGCTGTTAGCATTCCAGGCACCAAAGCCAATTAGCTTCCTTGATTTTTAAACTGTGAGTCACACATTTGTATAATAAATGAGGGACCATTCCAACTGATGGATGCTATGGCCCTCAGAGAAACAAGCACAGCTGGAATATCACTTCAGAAGTGCTGAGCCATTTAAATCCTGTTTGCACCCGCCCGTGTCTGCTTTCCTTTGAGAACCATTACTCTTAACACCTCCATGCTTCTGCCCGGCAGCCAGTCCCGTGGTTCCCACCCTGATAACGCACAGACACTGTCCTTGAGCACCTCCATGACAAGGGAGCACCCTGCAGAGACCTGCCCCTGCTGGGTACTGACCATTGCTCCCATTAAAACCCATTGTTTTCATTATTGGAGCCAGATTCTTTTCCTTGAAACCAGAGTTAAGAAATGTATTAAGCATGAAGTTCCTGAACGAAAGGTAGAGGCTGAAGTGTCTGAAAGGCACTTTGTTACCGTTTACTTTATTATCAGTCTCCTACCACAATTCATTTTGGATATCATTACAGATATTGGCTTTCCAGTCACATCAGTCTGTCTAAGGTGGCTTCAAAAAGAAAGGCAGAAACAAGCCCCAAACCTCTCACTACATGATGGGGACACAGGATAGCAAACTGCACAGCTCAGTTAAAAACACAGAACAGTAGACCCCCGCCATTCAGTAAAAAATCTTCTTGACTACACTTCAAATGGTACTTAGAATTCAACTGTAAATACTCTCCTGCAAAAATTCAACTGCAAATACTGTCCGGAATGGAAACAGGCAGACACAACTGCCTGTACCAGGCTGCAGTCCCAGCGGTCCCACTCACAGTGATCCTCTCCTTACTAAAGCATCGGCAGACAAACAAGACTTCTTGCAAGACTGCACTGAACACTGAATATCTTCCAAGACAGCAACTAATCTAAATGTATCAGCTCTTGAATCCTTTTCACAAAACCACAGGATGGTTTGGGTTGGATGGCACCTTAAAGCCCACCCAGTGCCACCCCCTGCCCCGGGCAGGGACCCCTTCCCCCAGCCCAGGGTGCTCCCAGCCCCGTCCAACCTGGCCTTGAACCCTTCCAGGGAGGGCGCAGCCACAGCTGCTCTGGGCACCCTGTGCCAGTGCCTCCCTCTCCCCCCCCCCCCCCCCAGGGAAGAGTTTCTTCTATCTAATCTAAATCTCCCTTCTGTCAGTTTAAAACCATCACCCCTTGTCCTACCCCCACCCCCTGATCCCGAGTCCCTCCCCACCTTTCCCGTCCCCCCTTTAAGCCCTGGGAGGCCGCTCGAAGGTCTCCCCGGAGCCTTCTCTTCTCCAGGCTGAACCCCCCCAACTCTCTCAGCCTGGCCTCCCAGGGGAGCTGCTCCAGCCCCCCGAGCATCTTTGTCAGGATGCATTGCTCCTGAGCTTGGAGAAATTGATCCTTGAGTATTAACCAGCTTTCTTGAGCCCCTCTTCTCTCCAGGAATTTATCCCACGCTACTCTGCCAGGCAGGTCCCTGAAGAGGCCGAAGGCTGCTCTCCTGAAGTCCAGGGCAGCGAGCTTGCCGCACACCCTCCCTGCTGCTCTAAGGATCTTGAACTCCACCATTTTATGATCACTGCAGCCAAGGCTGCCCCTGAGTTTCACACTCCCCACCAGCCTTCTTCCTGAGAACAAGGTCCAGCACAGCACCTCTCCTCACTGGCTCCTCTGTCACTTGGAGAAGGAAGTTATGATCAAGGCATTCCAGGAACCTCCTGGATTGCTTGTGCCCTGCACTGTTGTCCCCCAACAGATAGTGGGGTGGCTCTAGTCCCCCAGGAGGACCAGGGCTTGTGAACGTGAGGCGGCTGCTCCTCTCTGTCTAGAGACTGCCTCGTCCACCCGCTCTTCCTGGTGGGGTGGCCTGTAGCAGACCCCCGCATCATACCTGGTAGTGTTTTCACATCATACCTGGTGGTTTTTCATGCAAGCAGCAAAAACTGAAAGAATCCAGCACAGATTTAGAGAGAGAGAACATCTCAAAACTCACAGTACTGCAGGTCACTGTGTGCTAGATGTGAAACCTTCTCTGACCAACAGCATCGCAAGTTCACCACACAGGTAAATGGTCATTTTGTGCTCAACAGCCCTTAATTAAAATAGTAATTTCAATCAATTTGCACATGACTGGCATAGAACTATTTGCACTTAGATATGAGTAAGAGATAAAGCGGTCTTTTATTAGTAAGTGTTTGCAGAAGAACCTTTCTCACTGCTAAATTTCCAGCACAATATTTATCCCAGCATGGCATTTGATAACTTATCTAATGGGAATTACTTCCGGTTCCTCATTTTGGCACAGGTATATCAGTCAAGAGAAAGTATTCACCAGCGAAAAAAAAAAAATCAATGTTTAATTAGTAACATCAAGGTCTGACTAAGACTTAAAACCAACAACAAGATTTCATTCTGGACAGAGCAGCAACGCACTGTGGTGTTCCAAATAAGTAAATAAAAGGTCATACACAGGGGACAACACAGGCTTTCAAAAAGCAAGCAAGATGTCAGACTGCGCACAGGAATACAACGTGTTTACATGTTCTTTTCTGGATGTCTGAGAGAACAGTAACAGGGATCAAAACTTGCCTGTCTTCCAGCTCTGCGTCAGTGAGATCAGTATCCGAGTTGCTTCACAGGATCATAGAAATTAGAGAAGTAAAAGGCCTATAAATTGCCTATCCACCAGCCAGCCAGTGGCAGGCTATTCCCTGCTCTATCTCTTCTCCAGCCTCAATAAGCACATAAAGCAAGAACAACACTCCAAGTTTCCAATTCCAGTTTCTCCAACACTTCCAGTTTCTATCAGTAACAGCAACACTCAAATAGCATTGTAGTTCACTTAATTTATCAGTCAGAAAGGTCATTAAGTTTACGTAATATAATTACATTTGAAGAGGTATTTGATAATCAGTTTCACCTGTCCTATCAAACACCAAAGGGCTGATTTGCATTCAGCATTTTTCATAGTGTCTTTTCTGGTTTTACTCCAGAATCTATTTGACCACAGCAGGGGAGGCTCTCACTGCACTTGTTCACCAGCATAAACATCAGTGTTAAGGGATGGAAAACTGACATTTGGATACGACAGCAGAACTTTACACCTGCCCAAAACTGCCTCCAGCATGTATCAGTGGATCCGTGAAGAGATGTGAGCATTTTTAGAAGAGGTTCTGTGACATAATTTTAAAGGGGATGGTCTCCTCAGATCAAACACTAAATGTTTAGCCACAAAAGCTTTGAAGAAAAAGACTTTAGGAAAGGCAGGGGATGGCAAGATGATTTAGGAAGCAGGATCACAACAGCCTCCTCTAGTAAAAAACAATAAATCAAAGTTCTCAATAACGGAATTAAAAACTTTTCCCAGAGTGGAAAAGCTGCTTGTCCAAATCTTAATAACTGCAAAACTTGTAAGCAAAACAGAAAAGTTTATTTTTCTGCCTCAATCTTTACTTTTGCTGAGGAAGAAGATTAGAGGGCAAATTCAAGCACTGCTAACCGTGTCGCACATGACAGACATAAAACATACCAATCTTGGGATGAGCTGTTGGCAGTGCAGCTTCAGGAAAAGGTGAAATCTGACAGTTGTCCTGGTAACTTGGATAGTGAGGTTCTGGGTGGTTGACCCGACAAGGCTGCTGGACGTTGGTATCTTGAACTGCAGAAGACAACGGCACCGTGAGTCACTGTACCACGGCTCTCAGGCATTCCTTATGCTTCTTTCAGCCACATTTTTTTATACAAGTTCCTACACTCTATGATAGTTCTGGGGGTTGCAAAGGAGGAACAGTAGCATAATCTTACACATTTAGCAAGCAAGGCAACCTTGTACTGATTTCATCTCTCTCTGTTTTCACTTTTAAAGGCAAAGGTTACCCCTGGCTTCCCTCCCGCACACCTGTACATTTACAATAATCACAGGACTCCAAAATATGGTTCTCAGAACAGGACAGTTCCCTCAGCAGAGCTCACAACCTATGTATAAATCAAACTGAAAGAACTGAAAAGTATCTTAGGACATAGGAAAAGTGAAAAAAATGACAGAGATGACCATAAAAAAAGCAGCAGTGTACGTTAGCAGCTGCAACATCTGGATAAAACTTCTAACTTCTTTTGTGCAACTGGTAAGATTTCAAGCTGCTGAAATAATTTCAAAGGAAGGACAGTGGGTTACGTATAGTCTCTCTAAGCTTTTGAGAAATAAATCCTTTGTGAAGCATTCACAGTGCTTCCTCCTACAGCAATGGGTGTCCAAGCCTTTTTCTTCTCCTTCTCACAGATGTCTAGCAGACATACACCTGAACTCTTACCAGTGGCTCCAGTGAAAACATCACCCTGGGACGGACTTTCCGAGATAATTGCTGTGGCTTCCACTGTCGATGCACGATCAAATGTCAGAGCACCAGAGGTAGTGATCTGTCCAGAAGGAGTCACGGTGACTGAAAATATTAGAAGTACTTTCATAATTAACACTCAGTGCGAGGCCTCGGTTGTTTACCTGTTGATATCCCTGTTCTGAATCATCCAAAGTCAGAGACACTCACAGATCAGTAAACAGCCTGAGACAACCCAAGTTTGGATCACACCTATGACTGGAAATGGGAATAAAAGCCCCGTTTGGCTTCTGAAGGCACCGATGGCCTCCTGCAGGCCTCTGCTTATTCTCTGGGTATAGGAGGCCAGAATGTTCACTTACAACACACTGCACCCCAAATCACCACCTTTTCAATTATTAGATGAGCAAACACTTAACGCCTACCATAAAGGTTCAGTGGGGCCACAAAACCCATCAGTTTCTGGCTGATCCTAACTGAATACAATTTTAGCAAGAGTGGTTCCTACTATTTAAATTAACATAAAAAAACCTGTGGATTACAACTAATTCTATGACAGTTTGGTTAGCTGGACAATTTTAGCTGTCTAACTACACAGAGTGATATATTACACTTGGCCAATGCAAGGAACAAGTCACAAAATCCTTTTGGATGAATATTCCCGAGTGGCTCCAGAATGTTTAAAATCCTTTTTAAACAGGATTAATTAATCTGGCACCATTACTTGGCAAAGGTCCAATTCTGTGGCACACTGCTCAGCCAGAAGAATCTTTTTGCAAACAATAACTCAATTTTAAGACATTGAGGCTACAGATTCATGCCTGGTGCAACATGTGGCTACAACCAAAACACGCAATCCTCCCCTCTGCCAGTGCCAGCATGAGCCAACGTGCAACCCCCCAGCACCGGATGTCAATGAACCAACACAGACTAAACCCCTTCAGGGGATAAAAAAAGAAAAACAACAAAACTCTACAAAACCCTTGCACATATTTCTCTCCCTGCTGCTGATAATCTAATACTACTTTTGGCTGTTCTTTTTTTGGATTTCTGTTGCTTCCTCCTCAATTCACTTTGTAATGTTACCATCCAGACGATGCTAGTGTGATAAAAGCAGGACACATGAATGTGACTGGGAACGTGTGAGCTGGATGAGCTTGCAAATTAATTTCTGTTCTCACACAGATGGCTTGACAATCAAAAACAGTAAGTAACAAAGCGTGTCCTGAATGTTAGAGAGGAATTTGCAGATGAAAGCATCACCTTCTGCCTCTTTCATTAACAACTTTCAGGCTGTGGATTTCATTCCAGGTGCTTCAAGCCTACTTTTCTATGTATTTCAAGAAATAGCATCAATCTTACTCCATAGCGCCCACCAGCTTCTAAAGGACAAAACCAAGCTCAGGAGATGGAATGGGGATTTCCGGCAGAGCAGAAAAGGGCCAGCCTTCCTCTCAACCTAATTTCAAGAGGAGGAAATTTCTCAATTGTTGTTTGTTGAAAAACCTACCTGAAACCCACTGTGGATCCAGGCCAGGACTCCACAACTCTCCCTGCACAGCCAGACTGAGAGCAGGTAGCAGGGGAAATATAATCCAGACCTCTCTCAGAACAAAATATGAAACCTACTGCTCACTGCAAAAGGATGTTGAGGTGCTTAAAACTGAGTCTCCTGGAGGTCTAGAGCTGCACTTTTTCCTACCCAACTTGCAGTCCCAATGTGGCAACACTGTGCTAGTTTCTACAAAATCGGATGTGAAATTAGTTAAAGACACTGAGCCAATAAAACTATCCTATGAAAACAAAGTGGCAAAAAAGAAGACATTTTTCTCAGTTGGCTAGTTCCAAGGGGCCACTGATAGACATAAAATATCTAATGTGGCAATTCATCAAAAAACGGAAGCAATTTTTACCAGGAGAAGAGAACTTACATGTAGTAGCAGCTGTGGCAGGAAGCAGAGTGATGTTTTTGGGGCAATCCTTCTTCACTGGAGTTGCAGGCATTTCATTTTCTTTTTTCCGCCTTTTATATGGTACAAAGAGTCGTACAGGGCCACTCTAGACAAGAAAAAAAAAAATTACAAAGGAAAAAGGAAAAGGCATTAGCTGAGGCACCTCTTTGGAGACTTTGGGGTTAACTTTGGGGTTACTCTCATCTTTCCAGACACAGATAAGGTCAGGCAGCATGTGTCCCCATGGAACACCTGTCATTTGCAACAATTGACAAAAAAACTTCCCCAAATCAAAAGAACTTTGTGGAAAAAAAAGTTACACTCAGGTCTCTCCAGCTGAAGAGGCAGAGATTCAGTCTCTTCTCACTCTTATTTAAAGAGCAGAACTGGGCAAATAATTGACTGCTGGCCAAGATGGTGGAAGAAAAGAGAACAAGAGTGAGGGGAAGAGAAGCAGTTAGTTTCAGATCTAGGAAACAAGAAAATCATTCAGCTCATAGCAGACAAGAAATGCAAAACACTACTTCAAGACAAGCTAAAGACTTCTGCTTTCAGGACTTTAACCTCATTTTTGAAACAAACAAAAGAACAAACAAAAACCCCAAGCAGCTTAATATGAAAGTATAGATCCAACATATAGTATTACATTACTTCCTTATGAAAAGATATTTTCCAACCCAAAAACCTGTGAAATTTCAGTCAAAAATCACAAATAGTTTTGACATCCCCAAAGGCATTTTATATAAATACAATATTTAGAAAAGAAAAAAAAAAAAAAAAAGAAGAAAAAAGCAGTAATTATTATCCAGTTTTACTGAGGCTTCTACGCAACAGTGCTAGCGGTTCTTTACATCCTTTCTTTATAAAGCATGGACAAAGCATGCTGCAACCACAGAACTCGTGAATATTTCTAAGACACTCAGGACCTGCTTGCAGATGGCGGTGGCACCTTGACTGATTGTTTTTAAACTAACGAATGCAAAACCTACAACTCACCAGAGTCATGTCATCGCAGCAGGCAGCGCAAGTACAAGAGGCAGCATGAGGATTTAAAATCCCATCCTGAAATGAGAAGAATACGAGTTCAGCATTAGTCACCACAACCACCAAGAGCACAACTGAATGCTGCTAAAATACTCAGCTCCCAGAGAGATGGACCCATCCCCTCCTCGGGGCCCTGTGCAATAACAGAGAGGCCAGCTCCCCTACACCACCGCGATGGGGTGAGCAGCTAGGAGGAAGAGTGATATGGGAATTTGAGACTTTATAAAGTTTCTGCCCAAGCAGAAATTAACTGTCAACCTAATGGCAATGCCAAATTCTCCACGGGGCTCCTGGACAACGCTGCGGGCAACAAAGGACCCAAAGCACTACTCAATAAATGGTGCAAGTGAAGAATATGTTTGTCAGGCAAATAGAATTAAGCAGATCAGATTACTGAGTTACAATATCATGGGTGAGATCCTACTTCTCAATTTCTGCAATACAGCTCAAGGCTGGACTTCATCCTGCATAAACTGCAACCCCTTTTCAAGTACAAGCAAGATTTGTATTGTGCTATTTGAAAACACATCTAGAAGAATTCCTCTCGCATCACTGATTCTCAACCAAATCAAAATGCTGCTTCTGAGTTGCCCCACTGAGCCATCACACAGAACTCTGCAGAGGCAGCACACACAGCTTGGACTGTAGCACTGGGCAGATCTGCACAGACTCAACCTGCCCCTTCCAGCAGAAAGGAGGAAGCAAACTTAACCTTACGTGAATAAGGCACTGCAGTGGCCTCCCAGCATAGCGGATGCTCCTCTTCCAGTCTTTGCTGCTGGCTCGTCCTGCCATAGCTTCAAATTCAGTAGGGCTGTACCAGTTGTCCCCTTGCTTAATGCACCTACCACGGCCTCCTGAAATAAAATGGATGAAAGAAATTGTTAGTAGAGCTTAAGAATAATTTTGCCTCTCTCCTAAAGAAGTAAATACTGAAATTCTGGACAAAATAGCAGCTAATCTATAGCAATCACCAAATATGCCTGCCACTTCTCATCACTCTGGGATAACCATGCCCATTATTATCTTGCCTATGACAACCACTGTACATGTTTAGAGAGCTTCAACTTTGGGCCTCACCAATGTATCAAAAGGATAGAAAAAATACTCATCCACAAAAAGTGTAAGTCTTTCTTGGATAAACACCATGAATTTAAGCCTTTAATTTGCACTTAAATTTCTAATCCTTCTGGTCGTGAAGAAAATTCTCTATCCACGAAGCAAGCACTGTGCTGTGCAGTCAGGCTTGCCGACAATTTCTGCTGCTGCTTCAGCTTTCCCACAGAGAGAGGAGAGAAGAGGAGGGGCTGAGGCAGCTAAGGAGTCCCATTAGGAGACGAACTCTCTATTTTCTGTTCCAGCAAGGATTCTGTAGTGCTTCGTAGAAACACAGGTCTACTTCTGAGACAAAGAAAATGTTAGAGGAGTCAACCTATGACCAGGTAGATGCACTGCACAGCAGCCTGTATCTTCACAGATTTAAGAAAAAAGCCTCTGAAGAAAGAGCAAACCAGAAGAGAATGATAATATCGAAAGGGCTGGCTAGGAAACTGTCTTTTTTTTGTTGCCTCACACTTGGCCCTTAAAAGTAGCTTGATTAAAAGAAGAGTGCTCCAGGTGAAGAAGAAGCCATCACACTTCCTCACCCAAGGAGGTCGTTGTTACCTGAGCCGAGTCTGTTTTTATACAGAACGCCACTGATATTCCGGCACCTCACTGGGAGCTCATTCTCATACACAGATGGGTCCCAGTTATACTTGGTTCCAGTTTTTTCTTGGACGGATGTTAAAGGGGTAGGAGGCGACTGCGGTCCTTTGAAAAAAAGAAAAGAAAGGTGACAGCAACCAAAAAGCACACTGGTCATACCGTCACACGCTCAGCTCGGCTAGGGCAAGTGTCAAGTGGTTAACTGAAGCAGCTGACACCTCTCCACAGCAATGCAAGTTACAGGGTGCACCGCAAAAAATTCAGCTTGAATGTTCTGAAAATAAAGCAAACTGCACCTTAGGAAACACGCTCTAACAGCGCATTAAGCACTGGGTTGTAACCTGCAGTGGTGTAAGCAGCTGGCTGGATCTTCCCCTTCCCAGAGGCCGATCCTGTAAGGTGTTCAGAGCGCTGAAGGTCTGCCATGCCGTCTTGTGGGCAGAAAGGAAACTGCCAAGCAGCCATGAACAAAACCTTAGCAACAAAGACATCCGCTATTGTGACACTAAAATATCAGCAAGAGGCACGAATGGAGATAAAACTATATTCGAGGACCCTTTAAAAAGAATCCACCTGCAGAGCTAGGAGACTCTTATTTTTATTATCGATATTAAAATAATCCATTGCCTTTGGGGGTGGAATGGGTGTAGAAAGGCATTCAACAGCCCAGCATCAGGGCAAGATTTTTCAGTAAGCTTATTTGCAAGGGTTAGGGCAAAGAATAAGAAAATGAAGTATGTTTCTGACAGGAAAAAAATAACAAAACAAAAACCAAAAAAAGTAAGTATTATTCTACTCCTGAGAAGTACCATGTAAAGAGGGGACAAACGATTCTTACAAGGTAACTGCATAATATTATGCACATCATGTTTTTTAATCCTAGCAACACAGTTAAAATGGAGACAAAGCAACCCCTCCAGGAGAATGACACTTCAGAAACAGATTGCCTTATACCTGGTGTGAGAGGTGCGGATGGCCCCTTCAACCCTGTGGTTTCTACAATGCTGCCGTCCGTGTGAACCACTATGAGAGTAGCTTTTTCAGTGTTCAGGCTGTCCCCAATTTGGAGGGCTGTTCTCCCAGACTATAGAAGAAATAAAGAGTTTAAATTGATAGTTAAAATATCAATGTATTTTAGTATCGCTATAAATCTTCTCCAAAGGTGCCCTGAAACACGAATCAGTATGGTAGTTATTAGGTTAGTTTTTGAGGTTTCAGCCAACCAAATTCAAAGGTTTTATGTTCCAGGTCATCAGGTTCATCACAAAATTGAGTACACAGGGCTGGAAAGGTAAAAAAACCCGCACCAAGTGACAAATTAAAAACTGTATGTCCCCAGCTAATGGCTTTGTGGCTTAAAGTCTGTACACAGTAACGAAAACAAATCCTGGACTTTACTACAGCTCAAAAGCAAACCAAGCTCTTCATTTACACTAAGAAAGTATGTGAGACTTTGCTAAGGCCCTCAAATGAAAGAACAGACTTACCAACATGTGTCCTGAAATTGAAGCTGCATTTGCCACAGATGTAGTAAAAACATTGTCTGCGGAGGCACCAACGTTGGCTACTGTCACTGTGGTGACTTCTGAAATGTAAAACAGACACGAAGTTAATATTCTGTTGCATCCAGAGAGCCTGATAAAGAGCTCAACATCAAAAAATATAATTGTATTTCCTTCTTCCTATTCAAAATTTTATTTGTCATGACACCTTCAAGTTGTTATAAACACAATCAGTTTGATTTTTACTGAGCTTTGAGTTGAACACACTTCAATCTCCCTGAGACTGCTATCAGCATGTAATGAACCAAGGAAAAAATATTGCATCTACACTGAAAAAAACCCAAACTGTGATACTTCTTATTAAAAGAGGGGTGACTGGCAAACATCCAGAGAATAACTGACCCTCCCTTTGCCATATATTAATTTCTAGGATGCCATTACCTGTACACTTGGTCCAGTTAAAAACTGTCCAAATGTACAGCCAAATGTTTCTATGATGTATATTTGACTGCCAAGCTAAAATCAGAGGGTTTTGAGTACCACACACGGGGGTAGGAGTGAAAGGACACCAAAGCTCACATGGAGATGCCCAGGTAGGTTTGCAGGGCTCTGGAATGTTTAGCGTTATCAGAGCTTGCTCTCAGAATTCTGCATACTTCACTTTGTTAATGGGACAGGGGGTCAAAGCAATTTTAGATGCGCAACGGCAGCTCTTGCTCATTTTTACTTCAGGTGATGCAGTGCGAAAGAGAGGAGCGTTTCATTTGGTGAGAGTGCAGGGTGTGACACAAGCCTCGGCTCGGACCTGCCCTTCCTCCTGAGGTAAACGGCCGCGTTTGAGCGGCGGCGAGGCCGGAGCGCGGCCGACCGAGCGCCGGGGCTGAGGGGAGCTGCGCATGCGCACTCCGCCCGCCCTGACCTGCGAAGGCGGCAGCGGCGGCCTCGTCGGCGCTCGGCAGGGGCTCGGCTCCCATCTCGATGTGCTCGGCATCAGCCGCCATCACCGTCACCGCCGTCACCTGCGCCGCCGCCGCCGCCTCCTCCTCCTCCTGGGGCTCCGGGGCTGCCGCTTGCGGCGCCTGCTGCTGTTGTTGCTGCTCGGGTCCTTCCGCGGCCGCCGCCACTGCGGCTGCTGCCGCCTCCGCTAAGCCCAGCTGCTTCGCCGCGGAGTCGGCGTCCTCCATCCGAGGCGGGCTGGGGGAGCCGGGCCACAGCGCCCGCTGTCCCGTGTCCGTCCCCCCCCTCCCCCCACCTCCGCTCCCCAAACGCCGCTGGGGAGGGTCCCGCGGCGGCGGGGGGAGGGGGCCGCGAGGTGTGTGTTGGGGGGAGGGGGGGGGGGGGCCGGTCCTCCGAGCTCACTCGAGCGCTTTTGGGCGGGCTGCCGAGCGGTACCGAGCTCGCCCGAGCGCTTCCGAATGTGTTTCCCCCGGGCGGGAATCGAGCGCTTCCGAACCGCTTCCGATGGTGCCCGAAGTGTCCCGAGTCTTTTCAGGCCTCGTCCGAAGGCGATCAATGGTTCCCGAGGAGCGGGGCCCGCGTTTCCCGCCGGCTGGCCAATCCCGAGGCGGGACGCAGCCGAAGCCCGGCCGAGTCCGTGGAAGCGCGGCCCGAAGCGATACCTGACGGATGGGGTGGGGGAACCCGAGCCCGCCCGAACAGGGCCGAGTCCCCGAGAGGTCCGGCCCAGAGGGTCGAAGAATCCCGAGCCCGCTCGAGTCTTTTCCGATCCCTCCCGAAGGCGGGTGAGGCGGGCGCGAGGAAACCCGAGCAGTGCCGAGTCCTTTCCGATCGCGCCCGAATTCCCCTTCGCCGGCCCGAACGGAGACGCCCGAACGGACAGCGCCCGAATCCGCCCGAAAGCGACCGAACCGGGCCGAGCGCTCCGATCGCACCCGAAGGCAGAGGGGGGCGGGGAGAGGGCGGCGAGCTCCGCCCCGGTCGCGGCGCACGGGCTGCCGGGACGGTGGAGGACTTGGCGGGGGCGGGGCGCTAAGATGGCCGTTGTGAGGCGAGGTGAGAGGCGCGTTGCTATCCGTTACCGACAGCCCGTCCCGGCGGGGTGGAGGGTGAACGGGGGGTGGCGGTTTCCCACCCTGTTCGAGGTTACCTCTCGCCGCCCCAGGCGGGGGCCGAGGTCGAGCTAGGCCTCGGCGCAGAGACCAGCCAGGTAGCCATATCGCGACAGCCCCGACACGCTGAGGTAAATCCCGGCAGCTGCGGGCCCTGCGTCAGCGCGAGCAGGGGCTTGGCGCCTGTGCGGGTTGAGGAGCACCTTTAATCACAGGCAGATCGCTTTTTTGAGGCCGAGTGATGCCCCTTGAAAATTCAGGTCTTTGCTTCAAATTATGAGCCACCGGGATTCAGGGGCAAAACAACAAAAATAAAGTTATTTTTTCAAGGAGGTCAGAGGTTTCCCCCCAAAATGTAAATTTCAGCCCTAGGTAGACAAAGCTGGTTTTGACAACTTTGGTTTGAACAATTCGCCATTGCCAAAGTCCTAAAACCAAGTTTGGGTAATGAGGTGTGCTGGGCAACGTTAACTACAGCTGCTGCACGCTTCTAAAGCAGTTTGGGCATTAGAAAACCCCAGTTGTTAGAAAATGGGACGTGTTCTACTTCGAGTAAGCATGCACAGCGTTGCTCCCAATCATGTTAAAAGAATTTAGCCAGCTGGGAACAAGTGACATTACACCCTGTTTTCTTCTGGACCACATAAGCTTTCCAGCAGGCAGAAATCGGGAGCCTCACCCTGCCAAGTCTCTGATGCAGATATCCCCCTTAGCAGAGTGCTGTTTTTGCTAATGCAAGTTGGTGTGCTTCATATAAATGCTTTAAAATTGTTACCATGCTTTATTTTTTTTTCCTGTGCCAGAATGCTCACTTTTCAATTTAAAAACCCCCCAGCAGCAATGCAGACTTCATTAATCCTAGCAGTGAGACAATCTGAGGGTGTTGGGATTAGCAGCCTGCTATTATACCTGAAATGATGTATTCATCTGGCATAATAATTACTACTTAACTGCAGTATTGCTTTCACAGGCATGTTGTGGGGTTTAAAGCCGTGTGAAATGTCTCCTGTTGCTCAGGGGGAGGCAGCATGTTCTAAGTAATGATGGCTAGCAAACCAGCCTTGGAACAGATGCAGGAATGTGGTCAGTGCCCTCTTGTGGAAAATGATTTATAAAAAAAAAAAAAAAAAGTTTACAAATAAGGTTAGGGAGCTGCCATTAGGGAATTTGCTAGGGGTTGCCTAAAATCGTGCTACTCTATACCACTGGCATCATGGCAGTGTAGCTCCCCAGCAGGCATGAGGCTACACTGGGAGAGCTTAGCATTTGGCTATAGAGAAAAAGTTCCATATCCGGACACTTCTTTGGAATAATAACGTGTCTGCACATGCAGCTGTGGTATTTCAAATTAACATCCTACTTCACAGTCTCAAATAACTTTAAAATGGAGATATCTTATTGCTGTGCGAGAATGGAAGCACAGCATCTTGACACAAGGCATTGCTTTTGCATGAGGGTTTATACCAGGGTATAAACACAAACACATCTTTAACCATTAGTCACTGCAGAACAAGATGTGTAATGAAACCTTTAACTCCCATTCTGCAAAAAGAAATAAAGCATTCATCAAAAAGCATTTTGGCTACGTGAAGGGACAAGTCTAAGAGCCTGAAGTCCCTTTACAGAAAGTAAAGAGGAGATGAAGCACGTCCAGGAGGCATTTCAGATCATAGACAGTATGAATCACCTTCTAAAATTGCTTGCCTATTTCCACTGCATTCCCAAATTGGATACCTTAATTAGGTGCCTAAAGTTAGTGGGGATTAATTTGGACCCAGCTGCATAAAACTATTAGATGATGAGGATTTTAACCTCAAGAAGCCCAGGGATGAAGATGGTGAGGTATGTCCCACTGATTTGATGATAATGAGATGTCTCCGAGAAGATAGTTGAAACGGCCTTTCACAGACAGTTTTGCTGTCTCTGAAACGGAGATCACAACTTTTCAATTCCTCACATGTCTGAAAAAGGCTAAGAATGTTAATGAGTTACTTAAGAAGTTCCTTAGTAGGTCAGTGCCATCATGTTGCAAGGGAATTTTATTTGTATTTACAAAAAGAAAATACTGGTAAGCTTATAGAAAATATTTGGTATGATTTCTACGGGTGATCAGAACATATTAAGGTTTTACATAGAATGACTTTGCTTTTGAAGGGAACCGGTTTGGAAGGATGTTATTTAGAGGAACCAGGGAGCCCAGTGTTCTGCATGAACGCTTTCTCACAATTTAAAAACAAATGGTACATTCCAGTTCCCTTGCATGTTTCCCTTGTTCCTGCATAGTTAGAGGGGATGAAGTGTCATCTGCTGTGAAAGGACAGGATAAACAAGTTCTAGTTAATGCCTGTGTACTACTTTGTGTTTTGAAAGAGATGGGTTCCTCCATGAAAGTGACTTTTCACAACAGGGATTTCCCCCAAATTACTTTAGAATTCACATATGTGAAAAAGTTATTTTTGGAACCTGAACTGCATGATCTGAGAAAATAGTCTTCCAGTGAACTGAGAAAAATATGTCTACAAGCATGCTTGACCTCTAGTAACATCAGTTGTTTGAATGTTTGTGTAGCACTTTCAGTAAATATTTAGACTGATTTTTCTTCTATTTTTTCCTTCTGGATGGAAAGGAAGAACTTCATCAGTTGTATCCTTTTTGTACCTTTCATCACTCACATGCGGGAATATTCAGGAAGCATGGCTGAAAAACATTCACATCTTCCCACCTAATAAATCTGCACAACACTGGTTTTGTGTTATTCTTTGAGTTTTCCATCATCAGCACCATCCATAGGGAGCAAAACCGGTAAAATGTTTCTTCCAAGGAAAGATGCTTTTTGCAGCATTAGCTGGGTTTTAGCTGAGGCTTTGCATTGATCGGCTCCCACTCACGCAGAAACCCCTCTAACCCACCCCGCAGTCTTGACAGAGGGCTGGCAGCCACATTTTATGATCACAAAACTGATTTCCTTAGGAAGCAAGGCTAAAAATTGGATTTGTGGACCGATGGCCACAAACCCCATGCAGCACACCTCACAGACAGCTGACACAGCCAACAAGTAGTAAGAGCACCTTTCAGTAGTACTTCCTCCTCTCTCATTAATTCACCCTACCTTTACTCCTGCCAAGATCTAAGTAACCTCCTAAGAGGAGACACCCTTGGCTTCAGAGATTTCCATGCCTAGAACCTATCTAGTAATTTTTTGCTCCACCTTCCTTCAACTGGAAAAACACAAAAACCTGGTTCTGTTTTAATAAAATGAGCTGCTCTGGGAACAGGAATACATTCACCGTGTGTGGGTGGGTGCTCCGTTCAGAAACTGGATGGGCAGTTCCTGTGAAAGATGCCTGGAATGAAGCCCCTGCTTGGAGAGATTTAGAGGATTGGTGAAGGGTTGGGGAGAGAGGGGAGGATAAAGAATATTTTGAGTATAGAAAGACAGATGTGGAAATAATTAAATCAGCACTAATGACTTCTTTATAGAAATTACATTGTATTATGTAAGGCTAAGAAAGGCATTTGGTATCATTTGGTTATCAAAAATACATATGAATGGCCAAACTTTCTGGATTCTCAGAGCCACGTTCTAACTTCTCCGTGTGGTGGTGAGCCCCAGGATGTCCTACGTGTGTCTCTTCTATTGCCATAATAACAGGCTGCTTGTGCCTTGAGAGAAAATGATTCCTACAGTATGTATGCGCCTCCTTCACAGAAACTGTGCTATCTAGGGGGGCTCTTGACAACATCTAGCTGTGAGGCACCTCCAATAAACGAGGCATTCCAACTCCTGCTGCAGTCAAAGGGAGCTGGCATGCTTTAACACCGGCCAGTCGTTCATCCCACGCTGCTCCAGAGGGAGCCCAGGCGGCCAACTCTAGGGCGTAACTTCAGGATTGCTGTCATCCTGGGACGGCTACAGGTGAGATCCATCTGTCCTGAGCCTGCAGGGGATTTCTCCCAATTCATACAACAGCTTGTGCCATACTTCTTGTCCTGCAGGGGCATTCTGAAGATGTATTGAGGATTGTGGAGCTCTTAAATACCTTGGCAGTGGATCCACATAGACAAATAACTAAAGCTAAATATTATCTCATAGTATACAACAGTTTTGCGAGCGGGGAATTAAGGAAGTCTGTTTCTTAGAAATTTGCATCTCAAAGTTGAGCTCATGGCCTTTCTCAGCCACGTATCAAAGACACAGCACAGCTTTCAGACTTTCCATCATGTGGGCAGTAACAGGACCTGTCTGCTTCACAGAGCCACCTATTTTCAAAAACTTTCAGGAATTTGATGTACTGGAGTCTGCCAACCCTCTGTCTTCAACTTGCTTAAGGCTGACTAACAGGTACAGGAGTTGTCTGGGGAAATGTACACGTGCACATCCCCCTCATTTCCTTAGGCTAACAAATACCCTACTACATACCAATTAAAATTTTTTAAAAAGGGAACTAAAGCCAAACCTGAAACAGCAAGGTTTTATCGTAACTCCTGGTGTTTGCAATCACAGGTTACTTTCTGAGCCCTACCAGTAGGTCATAGTTGAACCATTTAGTAGAGAAAGGCACAGCAGTATATTTTGAGGTTCTGGGAAATGGCAATTTTATGAAATGGATCCCACCTCGTTGCTGTGAGAAATCCTTAACACTAGTTATCAGCTGTCATCTGTTCCCTTACAGTTTCTATTTTATGTAAATGGGATTTATTACATCTTTTACTTCTTGGTGACTCTTGCAATGATTGTTTATAAAAGTAAGTTGCACATATTCTAACACAGAAGTAGGCTGTGTGCTTGTGACATGGTTGTGGTTTGTCAGTAGGCTTACTGTATTTTCCTGGCTTATTTATACTGTGTTATTCTACAGGTCAAGTTTTCAGTTATCCAGATGATCTTTTGGCTCCAGATCTTGTGTTACTTTTCATTATGGCCATTCTCGAAGTGCTCCGATTATACTTGGGTATGTCATGTTATCACTGTGCCTTTTCAGTGAAATATAATCTTGAAACATTAATCATTCTGAAATTGAGTGTGCATCAAAAATGCCAGTTTAGCAGAGTAGCAGATATTTGGAGACTGTTGTTTATTTATGTCATTAAACTTTATCTGACTGATCAATAGATTTGGCCAGAGGGTCAAACAGAGTTTGCTCTCATATGAAATATAATCTATAATGCCATTAAAAGACAACAGCTGAGTTGTCAGAAAGTAATATAACTGGGACAGCTGGAATGCTGTTGAAAAGTGAGAGTGATGTGTGAGAACGAACATGCTGAAACACAGAGATTTCCATGCACGGAGGCGATAGGGCTCCCTTCAACTGCTCCAGCAACATACACAAGTAACCAAATGGCCGGAGCCCTGCAGAGCAGGTAATGCTAAGGATGTCCCTGAGCAGTGTACGGCTGCCATTACGACTACACCTTTTCCTTTCACTCCTTCTGCAGACACATGCCAGTTCCAACATCTTCGTTTCTCTAAGAACAGCATAAAGGGCTCCTGACACCTGTCCAGAGCTTGCTAAAACTTCATGAAGTCATTTTTTAAAAAAAAAAACCAAGTTCCTATTAAAATCCGTGCTCGATATTCCTAAAACGTTTATATGAGGTGGGTCTCGGTTGAATTCAGCTGACTTGCTGTAGGGGTGAATTTAGTCTTAAAGCTCTCCACATGTTTGTGTAGAGCCTGGTGGATGAATAAAGAAGTGAGTTTCCAGTCTAACGTAGTTAAACAGCAAAATCTACTGAGACTAGCTTGGAAAGAAGATACAAGGAAGAGATAAGTGCAGCTTCTCCACAATGATAGCAATTTGAAATAGGAAGAGATTAGCAGGGATAGAGAAGATTCTATGTTGCATAAGACTTTAAAATCAGGATTGGATGCTCTTAGATGTGCACCACAGTCACCAAGTTATCACGCTAAATGCAGGGCTGGGAGGGGACTGGGGGAGAGTTTGATGGTTGACGAAGAAGCTGAGTGATCAAAATGGCTGCAGCTTCAGAACTGATTATCTGCGGTAAGAAAAGGTAGGCGGTGTGATTTAAGAGTATCAACTGATTGCTCTTTATTTAGATTAACTTCGGTGAGCAAGAAATGGATTTGCCATCGGTGTTTGGGTTTGTCCTTACATTTACTGACAGAGCCTTGATCAGGCCTGTGTACTCTGAGCTGGAAGGACTAGAGTCTTTTTTGAACAGGAATACTCTCGACTTGTAGCTTGTGATAGCGTCAGAAGAAATCAAAGACTCATATCAGCTTTTTGTTTCCTTCAAGGTTCAAAGGGTAACCTGACAGAAGAAGAGGCTCCATTAGGGCTCAGTCTTGTGATCACAGTTGGAAGTGTGATCCTGTCTGTGTATTTCCTGGTGTGGCAAACCTATGTGCTGAAAGCAGACGTCATTATAAACTCTGTTCTTCTCTTTACATACGGGCTCGAGTCCGTACTAAAGGTCATAGCCATTGCTGCTTTTGTCAGCTAAACCCTAGCAGCTTTCAACACGATTTCATCATGCTTCTACAAAAGAGTGGGGTTACATTTCAAATATTTAATTCTTTTGCATATAAAAATCCTGTAAAACTTTCCTCTGTTTAAAGTACAAATTTCTGAGGGTCGGAGATCTCCCTGAATGATAGGTAAAATATCCTGTCTAGCAGCTATGCCCCACTATCTCATCAGTTAGCTTTTTTATGGGCAAGGACAAGAGATGCTTCAGCAGAAACACTTAATGCTTCGGTATTCATCAGGGATCAATACTAAATATTCATTCCCAACACAAAATAACAGTCAGTGCATCATCTAGCTGCCTGCTGTTGAGATGATGGGAGGTTTTTACAGCACAGCAGCAGCAAACAACCAAAGTGACACAAAAATGAATCAGGCCAGTGTAGCGTGGACTCATTTCTGCCTTACCGCATCCACGTTCGTGTTTGAGGACACAGTTTCCCTTCTGCTCTCATTTGTGTTTTCAGACCCCAGTGGTAATCTCCCTGACTTTAGTAGGGCAGTATCTGACTTAGTCCAGTGGGAGGGAGCTGAAGTTAGTTTTGCACGTACCTGGAGAGCCGAGCTACAGGGGTTGGGCAGCTGGTTCTTACTGACACAGAGGCCAGTAGTGCGAGGGTATGTTTGATTAAATAGGATGGCCTTAAGGTGAGCATAAATATTCAGCATTCATTCACCCTTCTGTCCTACTTTGTTGTGTGTATTTCTGTTTGTTGTTACACGTGCTTATTTCCAGGATTCTGCAAAAATTACTACATTCAAGCCTTGACTTAAATGAAGAAGTGTGTGCAATTTCAGATTTTTTTACTGTATCAAAAATACGTATGTATTCATGTAAAGCTTGGGGAGTTTGTGGGGGTTTCATAAAATCAGGTTTTATATTCAGAATTTCCTATTTTTGTATTTATTTATTCAAATAAATTATGGTTTAGATCTAAGAAGTGTTTGAAGTGCAGAGCATCTTGTTCAGATCCTAGGCTACAGCTCAGCTACACAAAAGAAGACTTGGGCGAGACTGGGTGTGCCCAAAGGCCCCTCCTGATCCTGCTGCTCGATGTAGGCCACTCTCCTGCACCAGGAAAGAGCGCCTGAGGTCTGTGCTAATTTGCACTAGCCGGAGCTTGAAAATACAGCGGTGCAGGCTCGGTATTGCCAAAGCTAGACTGTTTTCTTTCCAGGGGTGGTATAAGGGAACAAAAGGCGCAGAAGGCCCTGTGGAAGGGCCCAGTTTCATCCCTCGGTCATGCCCAGGGGAGCCCCTTCCGAGGGCAGGTAACACCAGCTTCTGTCCACGTTACGCTGCCCAGCACTCAGAATCAAAATGTACACATGGGCAGGAAGCCCCCTGGGCCAGACCCTGTTAAATCAGTGGCACAAGCAACCCTCTGCTGATCAGCAGGAGCAAGGCTGCACCCGTGAACACAACGTCAAAGCAGCAGAACTGGGTGCTGAGGAGCAGCCAGGAAGCTGAATGACCAAATGTTTCTGTGCTTAACCTGCGTGAATCAAACACCCACCCAATTGTCCTTCCAGATTTGGGTGGCATAACGGAATGTGCTCATCACATACTTGTTACGAGGAGTGACAAACATACCGAGCTGTATCTACCCCACTAGTGACGAACACACACCGAGCAACACCTCTTTCTGTATGCATACAAATAAAAGCACATTTTTTTCCTGGTATTTACACCTGCCTTATACAAACGTCTGGCAATAGAACATCTGACAGATTTGAAAAGAAATACTGCTAAATGGAACTTTGTTTTACCTGAATGTAGGTGGTACGGCAGATGGGGTCACACGTTAACTTCGAGTTGCAGCCTCTTTGCTTTACCTTCCTTCCTTCCTGTGGTGTTCGCTACAAACAAAACAAACACAAAATATTAGTGCAACTGGAGGTAGCAGAGCCCCAGGGTGTAAATTCAGCAGACATCAGTAAAGCTAGCAGAAGGTGTTCCTACCCCAAGGTGTTTGACCCCACCACAGATCACCACCCCCTCAGCTACAGCCCTATAACCATTTGTGATGCTGAGGCACAAAACTGGAGCCCTGGCCCGATCCATGCAGAAAATAGCCCTCAAAAATGCTTCTGATGAGGGTGTTAATCAGGTGACGGCTGCCATGTTCCTGCCTATCCCCACAGCACAGTACGAGTTTGGGACAGTCTGCTGGGCCACACAGAATAAAGCAGCCTCCTCCTCCAGCTTTATAAAACAGTGGTTTATATATATATATATATAAAATATATGATCTATTATCTATATTATAACACATATATATGTTTTATATATAGAGAGATGTTATAAAACATGGTGAATCCTTTGCTCCCTAACCATCACCTAGATGATAACCAAGAATCAGCAGAGAGTGATAATGCTTGCTAACAGTCAGCAATAGAGTAAATATACACATATGATAATAAACATACATTTTTAAGCTCATTTCAGAGCACTGGTCAGAGAGTCCTGGAGACCTGTCAGTGCTTCCTGGGGGTCAGCTGGCACCAACCTGGGTTTGCACCCCCAAAATGGCAGGACAGCTCTGTTTCAGTTTTCCAGTTTAAGATAAAATTGGCCATGAATGTTTTTCTGATTAGATGAGCAGATACCGGGGTACTTCTGCCCTGACAGCCCCCCACTCTGTGTTGAACATAGGACAGAGAAGCCCGTAAGCGTCAGACAACCCTGTCCCAGGCATTGCCAGGCTTTGAATGGGAATTATCACTGACGCTGGTGACTCTGATTTCGTGACAGCTTCTCTCCATGCTGAGCTGGTACAAAGACTCAAAGTGAATCAGGCTCTGGCCTCAGAGAGTTTCTCTAACCAGCAGCTCCTTTCTAAACCATTCCCATTGCTCAGAGAAGCAGGGCACAGCAAAGTGAAGCCATTGATGACATCTGCCAGACAATAAGATTGCTGGAGCTTTTAATTATGAGGCCCAGCCCTTCTGAAACAGGATGAGCAAGTTGGATGAAAATGGTATTAAAAATTTAGAGGAACACATATTTTGAGGAGCTCGGTTTGGGTGTTGTTTACTCTGCAAGGAAGAAGTCTTTGTTCTCAAGCCATCACAGGGGTGTCTGCCGCCAACCTGATTTAAAAGGCTGATCCTGAGAGGCAAGTTAGCCTCCTGGGATTTCAAACTCGGAGATACTGAGAGATAGGGCTTTATTGGCCCACGGCTTTTTTGTGTTCCTCAACAGGCAGAAACAATGTCCAGACCAAAACTCAGCTGAAGCGGCACAGCCCCCCCGGTGTCCCCCGTCCTTGTCACAGCGCTGAAGGGCTTTGCACTGTGGCCGAAGGAGCAAGGCTGAGGACGCGCGCTCGTTTGGTTCCAGGAGCCAAGTCAAGAGCGGGCGTACGGGAGCTGCCACCGTGCAACGGGGCAATTCCCCTCTTGCTGATTGCCTCTGGCCCACTTGGACCAGCATCAGCTGTGGAAGGGAAGATGTAATAAACTCCATTGTGGTTTTCTTCCCTGCCCAGAGGAAAAGTTCCTCTGCTCAGCAGTCAGAGATTTCCTACGGGGTGCAGCACCTCATGGTAGCCCGCTGTGCCTGCCTTCATCATGAACGAGGAGCTGAGGCTGCCAGGTAGCAAGGAGTCAGTTAAACATTAAATGGCTTCTCCAAGAGAATCCTGCCAACTCCCTGTCTGCATACCGAGAAAGTCAGCCCAACCCAGCAGTCCCACTGAAATGCCCCAGTGGCAGATGACGCATTTCAGGGGGTAGGGATCTCCTGCACAAAACCTTTCAGCAAGGCTCACCGGGCTCTGGCACAGCTGATTTCCTACTGCATTTCCCTTCTGTTGAACCCACACCCCTTCCCCTGCTTGATGGCGTGGCTGGCATTCTCTAAATGTTGCTTCTCCTAGGGCTGGCCATGTTTTCATACGCATCCTGTACTGAGATCCCCGGGGATCTCACCGACATCACAGTGAGGACGATGACAGGGCACTCGGCGGGTGCGTCACACCGAGTATCAGTTCACATTCTCCCACAGCGGAAGAGGTTGTCCTCCTGTCAAAACCGAGCTGCCAAAATTGTAACTGTCATGCAGAGAACTGGCTCTCCCCCTGCCCATCCAGCTCACCCGGTGGCATTCCTCCCACAATAACTCACCCCGGGCGGCGGCTGCTGGACGCAGGCCAGGCAGCGAGCTGAGCACTAGCCCCCATAGCGCAGCAGGCACCAAAGAAAACCATGGCAGCAGGGAACTTGACAAGCACTGAGTTAAGGAAGCCAGGCTCCCTCCAGACCTGTGTCCCATGAGGGAACAGTTTTCTTATTTCTTTCTCTAATGTCAGAGTTGCAGCTATTTCTTCCCCGGGGCTGGTGACAAGGGGTCTCTCTAGCATGTACATGCCATGGGTTCAACATACATCCTGGGGATGGTGAGCAGGCCTGTGATGCACGTGAACTTTAATTAAATGCTCTCAAAACCCCCACTTTTTGGAGAGGACTGGCTAACCAGATGGATCACACACTGCCATGGACACATCTGTAAGACCCATGCATTCAGCTGGTATTTTCCAGCTTAATGATCAGCTCATGAGCTGATCCCATCATTTTAAAAAATGTTAAATCTCGAGACAAATGAAACAAGGCGTTCCTTGAAAGTAATAAGTCTGCCCACATAAGGGACCATTTCTCAGAGGTCAGGGTCTCTCCAGGCCCCCAAAATGGTCTGCAGGGCTGAGCCGGCAACATGGCAGACCCCAAGCACAACCCAAACATCCCCTCTACAGTCTGGCAAGAGAAACTCAGGAGCGGCCTTGCCATCTTTTAAAATTTCCTTCTGACTTTTTAAGAGCAAGAGAGGAGCAACAAGAGATTATATGATGAAACTAGAGCTTCTAAAGAAATCCTTCCCAGAGAACACAGGAATGACACTGGCCACAATGCAAGGGCTGAAGCTCAAGTCCCACCTTTGCTACTCCAGCAAGAAGTGGCTCTTGCTTTCTCTGTGTCCCACCTTGGGCCCTGGTGAAGAGGGAATGGTGATCCCACTCCTGACTACACCAGTAACAGAGCTTGGACATCCACAGGGGAGGGCACACAGAGTACTGCAGCGGCAGAGGAATGCTCCCTGCGATGGCCAACAGGGTCATGAACAGTTTCTCTCTGGCACGCAGACGCATGGGCACACATGTGTGAATAACAAAAGGGTCCTGCATATGGTGGTTGCCCAGGCAGAGCTGACAAGGAGCATCTCCTGCCGAGGAGCAAGCCTTGCTTGGTGATGCCAAAACATTTTTGCCTGATCCCCAAGGCCAGTGAGCCCTTTACTCCCCTCCTGTGCCACGGCAATTGCTTCACTTTGGTTCCTTCCAGAGGTGAGTTTAGCAATCACTCCCCTCTCCCTGCTCTAACCCCAGCACAGCTCTGCCAAAGCTATGTTTTACCTGTGCCCAGTGCCAGGGGCTGAAGCGTGGGGCCGAGACGTGTGGCATGGCCAGGCCTCACTACCTCCCGCCAGCTCATGGTCAAGCTGGGGCAAGACGAGGGGCTTTATGGCTTTGTAACCCTAAGGAGCACAGTGCCACGGTGTGGGGTGCCCCGAAGGGGGCTCTGCTCCTCCCCCCCAACTGCTCTGGGGACCTGGAGAGAGAGAGAGCATTTTACTGTCTCCCTCCATCTCACTACACCTTTCCTCACTGCAGCCATCAGGGCAGGCAGGAGCAAAGCTGGAGGAAAACAACTCGTGAGCCAGTGCAGAGCTGTGGAGAGCACCAGGCTGCACAAAAGATGCCTTGTTCCCCCCACAAGGAGGCCTGGCAGCGCATCCCCCTCCCTCACCGGTGATGGAAAACCCAGCTCCAAGCACTCCTTTGCCACCCCTCGCCGCCTTCAACCTCCCCTTTGGGTACAAAATAATCTCAGGCAAAGGAAACCTGAAGTTTAACACGTCCCTGCTGGGTAGCACCTCAGCTCGGCTTTCAGTCCCCTTGCACCAGGAGTGGGCAAAGGCCCCAGTTGCCCCCGGCACATTGTGGGGATGCAGCCTGCTCGCCGGGGCCACCAGCTCCTAGTTATACAGTAACCTGTTGCGCCGGGTCCCAGCTCCACCTCTCGCTGCCTCCACATCCCTCCCCTCCTCTCTCCTCTGCCAAGAAACCTCTGTCACCTGCTTTCAGACAACCGGGGCAAGCGGCACCGAGACGAAAGGGCAGAGGGAAGTCAGCGGCACGGGGACCCCCAGGCTGGGGTGCCAGGTGGGCTCTGCTTCACTTGCTCCTCCATCGTTTGGGCTGGGGCACTAGGCTCACAGGCAAAGTGTCGTGCAGGGAGGCAGAGGGAGCTTGGCTGCCGGAGAATGGCAGCAGGATTTAACTAGGAGGGCACGGCTCGCTGGGAGAGGACGCACGGGAGCCGAGGGAACTGCGGGAGACAAGAGCGGCTTCTCAGCACCGGTAAGTCCCTCCTCGCAAACCCTAAAACTTCACATTTACCCCACAACGTTTGTCTGCTTCAGAAGTCTGGTTGATTCAGCTGCAGAGGGAATAGGACTGGAGAGGGAGCTGTGGCTGGGATAACTATCGGTGCATAGTTTTGTGTATTTTTTTTTTTAAAGGGTGAAAAAGAGTAATTTTTCCAGCATTATGTTTTTGGGGTTTGTTTCCCATCCTGGCATTTCCCCGCCGGGCCGGATCCAGTAGGTGGCACTTTCTTGGCAGCAAAATGTCTGTCTGGCACAGAACGGGTTTTTTTTTGTTGTTCCTAATTGAAGTCTGGAGACAGTACTTTTGAGCAGCTGTTTGTTTGCAAACCTCGGAGTTTCCTCCGTTCAGGATGCACGCAGAGAGAATTTTTGCTGTTCCCCACTGGGCACCTCGGCGAGCTGCAGCTCTCGGTGGGTGAGCTCTCCCTGCCTGTGACCTTGGCCAGATTCCTCACCCTATTTCAAAACGGAGGGGAGGCTCACTCGGAGCTGCCCCGTTCCCTGGTGTAACAGCTCTGGCTCACGGTGAGCTTTCATCTGCATTAACGCGTTGGAGCGCAGCTCTCCTGTCCCCTTTCACTTATTTGCCTGGAAAATGCAGTGCAAACTCCACCAAGGACAAGGCTCAGGGACAAATGATTTGACTGACGTTATTTTTAAATACTGGAAATAATTGTGAGGCAACACAGTAGTAAAACATGGTGATTGCCCTGCTGTAATTAGGGCAATGGGGAGTAACACTTGCATTGTTGGGCTGCTCTGAAACTCTGCTCGGATCAAATGCTGTAACAGGGATCAGAGCTGTTGGCAGTTGCTCACCTGAGAGGTCCAGCGCTGGGCTGCTTTGGTGGGATCTGCCGCTGAAAAGGACTTTTTCCGAGTTAGAGAAATGACAGCAACAGGCTCAGCCTCGCGCTGACACACAACAGCCTGGCTGGCTGAAGCAGAGACTCACACAGAGTTTCACCCGCGGCTGCCACACGCAGTAGTGCATTCCTGGCTCTGTTTAGTTGAGTGACTGAGTTTCCAGTTGGTCAGGGAGAAAAATTAGTCCTTCGCACACAGAAAGGGCAGGCAGCTGTATTGGACCAGAGAGCCCTTTAAAACAGGACTGTGAAGCGGGACTTGCGATCCACTGTGGGAACATGTCTGTGAGCGGCAAAGGTCATTGCTTTGCCCTGTTTAAGACCAAGGCTTAAATTTGTGTTTGGGACAATACGAACAGTTTGATCCCTGCTGTGGTCTGGCCTGGGTTGTACCCGCTGCTGGTTTCCACTGCCAAAGCGTTAGGAAGCCAGGCTGGCTGGCTGAGGACTTGGTGCTCTTTCGGCTGGATCCCAGTGCTCCAGCATGAGCTGGCACCTGTAGGCAATCCAGTGCAGGATCTGCTCTGCTGTATTTTGCAGGGCAGGGTGGGTTTCTCATATAATCACAGAGCTCAGACGGACTGGGGGTGTTTTCAGGCACCTGAGAAAATAGTTGAGTGCTGGCATCATTGAACTGGATGTTGGTGAAGTCCCAGGGAAGGGAACAGCTCTGAAAACTGAAGTGTGGCTGCTGCATGTGCACATGCTTGGACGCACACCCGTTTGCTTGGGGTGATAAAGCAGTGTGCCAAGACAAGCCTTCCGTCACCACCCAACGTGAGGGTGGGTAAAGCCACCAAGACAGAGGCAAGCAGTCTGGCTGCTGCACAACACGAGGAGGAAATGTTCTCTGGGCCACAGGCTCTGTATCACAGAGGCAGACAGACTCTGCATCAGTGCCCACCTTTGCTGACTGTAGACAACTCCCCATCAGTTAGAGTGACAAAACCCAGCCCTGAGCCTGGTGAAATAGGTCCTACAGATCGTTGCTTCTGGGGATCTGTCTGCCCAGCTCCCATGGATGCAGCATCTGGTCTGTACGGACTATCTTGCCAAGTCGGATGGCAGCTCGTTTGCGTGCACGCAGGTGCATCGCAGAGAAGACGCTGTCTGCGGTAACATTAACAGCAGCCACCATTTCGTCGGTCTGTCCTGCTGTGGCTGCCTGCCCAGCCTCAGCCAAGGGCACGAAGAGCCAGTGAGGGGTCACACAGGAGGATCCCAGGCCAGCAGAGTCACCGGGCTGTACGTGCAGGGGACGAGACCCTGCTGGAGGACAGCCTCGGGACCAGATCTGCCAGATGTTTGTTAGCATCTGACCCTCAATGAGATGGCGCTGAATGTGCTGGAAAACAGAGTGGTTTTCATAGAGTCATGAGATAATTCAGGCTGGAAGTGAAAGAGGTTCAGATGAGACCCTAATGTGCTAAACGACTCAAGAGGTTTCAGTCCTTGTGGTAGACAAAGAAAGGAGTGATGTAGGAAGAATATATGCATTGGCTTGTGTGGGCTTGAGAAACATCCATATAAAATAAGTCTGGGTACAAAGCCTGAGTGGTGGGGGAGCCTTGTAATATTATTCCCAGAGGGCTGGATGCCAGGGTGCTGCTTTGGAGCTGTATCTCCATCACACTCTCTGCTCGCTTCCTCTCTCCCATGCCATGATCTCCCTCAAAGTGCTAGGTCAGGGCAGTTTGTGGTTTTGATGAAGACTCAGCAGTTTTCTCCTTGTGTGGGGCTGAAGTCTGGCCTCACGTCTACTTTATGTAACAGCAGTCAGCAGTACTGCTCTTAACTCCAAGGCAAATGTTAGTGCACGGCCTTTAGCCTATGAATTTGATGTGATCGGCAATAAAATAATCACCCTCCAAAGCTACTCAAAGCCTTACAAGTCCTCCTTAGTGTCCCCCAAGTAGAAATTCCAGGGGGAGTCCACACACTTCCCAGAGTGACAGAGATGGTTTCCTGCACTGTGGTAAAGCTTTATGAGCAGCAGGGTGTCCTCCTAGAACAGTAGCACGCACACAGCACCAGGCAGACCTAGCAGCACATGACTCTGCAAGCACAGCCTCCTGAACCACCCTGCTTTGGCCAAGGTTCACCAGATGCCCAGAAAAATACTCACCTGCCTGCCCAGGAGATATTCAAGCCTCCCACTCGAAGGGAGGGGAAGGGTGGTACCTTCAGAAACCCTCCCTGCTCATCTGACTGGTGTAGGAGAGTCCTTGCACCATCAGAAATAGCACTGTACAACACCTGAGTGATACAGATGAGATCCAAGGAGGCCTGGGGTCACAGTTTGGCTCCCGGATCTCCACCTGCCCACAAGACCACACAGCTTTCTACCTGTCAGGGTTACAGCAGAGAGGAGCAGTGAAGATTTTCATGTAGCAGAGAGGCTGTGAATAGCAACTCTGGCTCCTATGCAACAGGTTTGAAATGGTAATCTCAGGGAAAAAGTATGCAGTCACCTATCCCTAAAATATTTAGTTTCCCTACATCAAATCCCTGTCAAGAGGGAGTTGAAGGGGATCCCAGGGAGAGCAGATGCCACGCATTGGTGTCATCGTGCTGCTCCCACATGAACAAGGCCACCTCTGCACGCAAGGCGAGAGCTCATCCTTCCCCACAGCAGCGGGAGGCTTCCTTTCTCCTGGGCTGGGGATGGTGCCTCCTGCAAACTTGTGATGCATGATGCTGGGGGGGGTAACGAAAAAAGCCCTGGTATTTCTATTCCCTGGTATTTTAAATCAGGAGGGATTGCAATTCAGAAGGGAGGGAAGGGTGTGTAGCTGAGCACTGGACAGGTTTGAAGATCCTCCCTATACACCTGCACTGGAGAGCCCAGCCCTTATTCCCATTCCCCAAATGTTCCCAAGGGCGTTACTGCAACGTGTTCACTGCCTCTGAGGCTCAGCTGAGGGAAAAGACCAAAAGCTTCCCAACCCATGGGAAAAGGAAGCCAAAAGGTGGGGAGTCACAGGCTCTGCCTGCCCCAAACAGTGACTGAAGTGGCCAGACAAGCTGCTTTGGCCCTGATTTGGTCTGACGCGCCAAGAGAAGCCTGGAGATGACTGTTCCTGCAGACATGGTTGAATCAGGGGGACCCTCACATCTGCACAAGGCAAGAGGCTGAGTGAGGGCAGAGGCTGGGCTGCTCCATGTCAGATCAGGGGACAAGGTGCAGCCCCGGCTGGCGCGGCAGCTAGGGCCCGCTTGGGATGCTACATGCCCTTTCATCCATCACTGCCTAGAGAGGAGGGTCACAAATCAACCCTCCTCACAAGCATCTCCCTCTAAGGTTTTCTTTACCCTGTCTTATGTGCCAGAAAACCACATCTCAGGTGCCAGGGGCACATTCCCACATCCAGACCATGGCTGGGTCTTCACCTGCTGAGGCATTAGGCCACCCATTTACCTCTCCTTTCCCACTGCTACTGCCACGGCTTCTCTCTGGCATTTCAGCTGGGATGGAGGAGCTGAGCACTGCCAGGGCAGGAAGGGGCAGTGGACAGGATTTTGCAACAGCTCTGGCTGTTGCGATGGGCAGGTGTGGCAGGAATGAGCCCTCATGGCTCACAGGCCTCCAATGCAGCCTTGCCCAAGGTGAAGGCAGCTCTTGCAATGGCTGGTGGAGTAGTAACACTCCACATTTGGTGGGCTGAGGTCTTTCAACACCACTTTGGAAAGGGCCAGCAAATGCTTTCCTTTTTTTGATTTCCAGTCAAGTCCTGGCCCCAAAAAGCTTTTCATAATTTGAACTTGTTTGAATTTTGTTCTTCCTACTTCCTTTTTTTTTTTTTTTTTTTTTACCTCTGTCTTATCAGTCTCAACCTGTCCAGATTTATATCCTACAAAGGTAAAGTGCAGTCTATCTGAATAGCAATAAAGCAAAGTTCAGCCACCCAACAGTAATGCTCACCATCGCTGAGTAATTCAGAAAGTGAAATACTGCTGCTGGCAGGATGGCAATTAAGATCAAGCAAACAGGCACAGTCCGGGTCAACATCACCCTCCCCCAGACTGTTTACATGTAACCTTCCCCTCCCTGAAGATGACCAGAAGTGGGAACGATCTGGGAGTGAGATAGTTCTAAACTCTTCGT